CAAAACTCTATCCCTATTCGATCGCTTTGAAAAAAACCACTTCTAAAAAAGTCAAGTCGTAGAGCCAATCCCAAAATTATTGTGACATACGGCGTGCGATTGGCAGCGCAGTTTACTAATATTCACTATAATCATAGCTTCGACCGCCTACGTTTTTGAGTTTCCTATGGTTCAGCCACCGGATTCCAGGGTGTCTACTAGTAGTTGTTCAAACTTTTCGAATAACTTCAGCTCCAAAATTCCGTAAATAAGTTCGCAGCTAGTGAAGAGGATGCAGAAGGTAATTGAGAAGCTTGTTTCTGAATTTACTATTAACTAAACTAATACGTAATAAACCTTCAGAAAAGAGGTCTCTGGTGCAGTTAAATTGTGATTGTTCAATAGCTTTGAATAGTCAGTGTCGATTTCGCAATAATAAGTGCTTAATTGAGGTCACAATCCTACTTTTGTGAATGCGGTCATTTGTAAACCTGGATTGCGCTCATTTCTTAGAACTTCCTACTAAAGGTGTAAATGAAAAATACCCATTCTACCAAAAACAAAGGTTAAAATTTCGACCCGTTATTCATCAAATCTAACAAACACAGACACTGAAACCCCTAATAAGATCAGTCGTTTCCGAAAAATCCATAGAAAACCTATTTTATTTATGAAAATGATAAGGTCTTTCACTGGTTTTGATTTATTCACATTTGTATTAATGTATTGGACTCTGATTGAACGGTCACTCAGGAACCAATCAGAAAATTGACGGCTTAGGGTCATTGAAATTTAGGAAACCTAGCACAAGTGCAATCAGAAGTTGGAAGAATGAAACGCGTCCGAAAACTAACTGCTGCCATGCTCGCCTTAACAAACATATCTCTGACACTCTCACTCTTGCTACCGTATTGGGACTGCGGACGCATTCTCAGAGAATGCATTGAAGATGGCCGTGCTTATCGTGAGGTTATGTTTGCTGTGGCCACATTGCTCGCCATTGGTTTGTCTTTACTCTTCGCTGTCTTCATTATCGAAGTTGTACTACTCTGCGCAAAGGCCATACCTACGGGTACTGTTACTGTCCGATTTGTATTTATCTACATGGGTTCGCTGTCATCTTTTTGCGGTGTGCTGTTGTACACTGGTCTCGTGATAGGTCGATGGGCCTACTTTTTGGCCATCTTTGGTGCAACCATCGCTTTCGTGGTGCAAAAATTGGCCATGATCTCCTGGCGATGCGTCATAGCAGAGGATTCGTAGCTGCTGGCTTAAAATACCTTATTTTTCCTTACCGGATCGCTTGTATCTATGCGTTCAATCACAAGGCCCTTGTACTATTTAGAATTGTTTTTTTTTTATGAAATCAATAGATTGCACATTGAAGAACGCAAAAACTGCCTTTTGTGTCAAAGTGTGCATTTCCTTTGATAAGTAAAACATCATTATTTTGTGCATAGAGTTAAGCTTGCACAATTTTCAAGCATATATAGCAAATCAGTTGCTACTTTTTGCTATCGGTGATCTTCTTAAGTGGTTGAAGTTTCATTCTTTTAAGAGGTTTAATCATGATTGCCTTCACCTTTACATTAAAATGTCGGCACCTCTGAGCAATCAGGCAGACTTTATTAAAGCGTACTTAAAGTCGAATGCTTTGGATCAGTTGATAATCAGTGGCAATGTAATTTGTGCTGCCACAGTATTATGTCATTACCATACTCTTTGGGTAGTTTCATGACCTTAGATCTGATTGGACAGCTTGAGATTTATTGTTATCTGCTATCAGTGGTTTAGTCACTGAGCACCGTTGGAACGTTTAAAAAGTGCTAGAGAAGTATGTTGTCCGAGGAATTTGGTTTTAGTTAAAGCAACATATTCATCTTAAATTTACTTTTACCAGATTATTAAAAATAGTTAAATGATACCGTAGTTCATTTTTTTTCAGTGGACTATGAATTTTAAGAAGGTCATCCACAAACCATATTTCCCACTGGAATAGTGAATAACCAAGACTAACCCACTTTACTTTAAATAATTATAAGACTAAAATGCTAAATTTTAGATAGGAAACTGACATTTTTCGTCTTTATTAGACCATTCACATTATGGCTAATCTAGGTCTAACATAGGTTTGTTGAACACTTCCAACACAGGACGCCTACCTGTGATTTACAAGTCATCAATTTGTTAAGCACACCTGGATACAAATTTCGTCCTTAAATGGACAATGCTAGGAGGAGGGGATTTTTAATTGTTCGCCAGCAGGCTAAGATGATAGAAAAGTTCTTTCAAACGAATCACACTCTTTTAGCTCGCCTAATAATGCTGGACCATCCACTGGAAATAATATGAAACACGATGAAAGTAACGTTTTGTATGCAATCAAATCTAATAAGGTTACTCAACTTTGAGATGTTACTTAAAACCAGGTAAATGAAACCACAGACTACAAACCAGCGTGCAAACTTTTAGTCAATTTAAACAAGAAAATAGAGATGACGCCCGATCTAAAAACGTCACCTATGACAAAAATAGTTGAGTAGTAAAGTACCATCGAATCACGTTTCCATTTTAAACTAAGATACCCTTAATTCAAAGATTCACTTAAATAAAACCAATTCTGATAACAAGCTTTGCAAAAGCGGTGTTTAATTTCCTTAGTTGTTGCCAACCTAATATTAAAATCCAAAATTAAGGGCAAGGTAACTTCTAAAAGTGTTTATAGAAGTTGGATAAACGATCAAAATGGCATTTACTTCGTAAATTCCACAAAATCGTGGTAATGACCCTAATCATACACTTTACTTGAAGGCTCGGTGACTGAACGATCCCTTATCTTAACGGCAATTAGTTTTCTAACTAATTTAAGGATATTAGTTGGTCCCAAAATAAACAATTATTCAAATCATCGGAGTTATTGGCGGTTTCTTCGTGCTGTCCTGATGTACGTAAACGGCCATGTGGAATGACCACCTTACCATGACCCTGTAAACATTCTAAGGGCACATCGGAAGTTCACCTCTAAAAAACAACATAAATTCAAGCCCTCAGAAGTGCATTTCTTAGGAGAGACTCTAAGCTATTCCACACACAGAGGTAATCTAAATGTCTACTCAATTGCTGATTAGCGAGTTGCAACTCTACCCGGATGTATCATACTTAAAAGTGTATTAAAATACCGTTCTCACATACATCGAAGGGTGTTGATAATTTACTTATGCAAATTGGCTTCTTTTTCAATTAGTACTTCATAATAAATTGTCAGGTACGTGATGGCGTATGGAGTTCCAACTTCAGGTGCTCTACTACAATTCATAGGCAAAGTCAAAAGAAGATCACTCTCCAACATTTAAACTAAAATCAAAGCATCTCTTTTTATTCAACTCTACACAAAAGTGAATTGTTTCATTGTATTCCATATGCTGTTATTTTATCAGAGAAAAAGCCATTTAGGAGTGAATCCACCGTGGTGGATAACTGAAGTTAAGGGCCCATATTTAGAGAAATAATGAAGCTAATCGCCGTGGTGTTGCATGCAGTATGTGCACACGATTGGAAGTTGAGTTTAACAATGAAGAATCGTGATTCCGAAGAATTTTGGATTGTAGCGTAAAAAATATTTTCCTAGTGAAATTTGAATGACCATTCTATCTATGCAGTTCACCTATTTGGATATTCAATGTTTAAGGCTCTTTGAAATATTTTAAGAGTGAGTGCTTGTGGCAATACTCGAAAATCTTCCCCCAAATCCTTAAATGTTTTGTTATCAAAGATTTTTATCTAGCGGACTTTTGAAGCCAATATCCAGAAAAACTAGGTTAAGTGTCAATGATGGTTGAGATATGTTCGCTTTGTGCAGAAAGCCTATGATTTTAGCAGACGACTTTCAGTTACTACAGAATTTTTAAGGAATTTTAACGATTGAAAGACGATTCCTAACTAGAACAAATTCAGGCTTCCATGAGTACCAAAACTAAATTTAGAATGATGTAATAGCTGTAGCATACTACATAGTGCTGCAGTGACCTTCCTTTCATGCACATCAGTCACAGCCCAATCTGTAGGGTTAACCCAGTGCCAGACGAAAACCGCAATGTTCTATTTGCGATGATGGTAAATTAATGCCCCTTCATGCGACTGATGGTTAGGGATGGATGCATTCTAAGGTAACTTAAGTAGAAGTACTGATAACTCAACCAATCACACAATGCTTCATTTAAAAGCCTAAATGATATCTTCTATGAGTTGTGCATTCCACATAAGTTTTATTTTTAAATTTGAAATTAAAATTCACCAATCTTACATCTGACAGCTTTTCGGAATCATCATCTATGCATCGCAGCAAACCATTGACTATTGTAAAATAATTATTTGTAAACTGAATTGTACAAGCGCTCGTTTATTTAACGATGAACATATTAGTTGCGTTACACTTCCGTGTCTTAAAATATAGGAAACTAGGTAAACGTAGTGTTAATATTTTGGCTGGAATTATAAAAATTATTTTACTGCACCTTAAGTGTGCTCTGAGTAATAATTAGGACAAACTATTCAAGTAGTAAATGCTTTCTACTTCTGTTTATGTATGTAAATGTAATAGGTATTTGATAAACAAAAAGATAAAAAGTCTGACCCAAATTTTCAATCTGAGTTATGATATTTTACAGGATAATTAGGTGAATGACACTTTTCAACACATTAAAAAGCTATTGTAACCTCTCTAAAAGTGTCTGTCATGTTTACGCATTATCAACCACGAAATACCGCTTCCTATAAAGGGAGGTTGGATTTCGATTGGACGTAACTGGAATTATTTATGAACATAAAAAAAGTGATATTTAATCTAGTTATGCATTTAACTTCATGAGCTCGGTGCCATGGTGTTACCAATCATACTATAGCTCATCTAGAACTGTCTAACTTAAAACGCCTTCAAAGAGGACTCGACTGCTTTAAGTTCACACATTACAGTATGTTTACCCTGTGAAAGCAGACTTAAAACAAATTCAAACCCATCAGGGGTTTTTCAGTGGCATGCAGAATCTTTAAAAGTATTTAACAAAATCACTTGGCTACGGAATTAGTTATATCCTTGAACCGACTTGAAAAACAAGTGTAATTTATATCTTGATACTGGGGCCATGCCCAAGTGTAAGTATTCAGAGAGTTTATTTTTGGTATTCCTACTTCACGAGGAATGAAGGCTTCTCCTCAGACATTTAATAATATTACCTCTTTACGATCTCGCCCGCTTATTGTCTGATGTGAATGGGTGCAGATAACTAAGGCACTTAATGAGTAACTAGAATCAAAAAGCTAAATATTATGTTGCATCAGTACCTGACAGAATCCATCACATTAAAGCAATCATATTTAATTTGAAAGCGAGGGGTGGTGAAGCTCACATAAATGCCTATAATTCCAAAAACAACAAGAAGGTAAATTTCCCTGAAAAAAAACCCATACCGAGTTAGGATCCTTCATCAATTCAAATAGGCTGCATGTTTTGGTGGTAAATATTGGCCAAAATATGGATTATTCCAGAAAGTGATACTAGTAAACAATATATACAACCTTACGCAATAACATATGTTGTAATAGAAAGTCAATTCCTTGGCCTTGCCAGCCAGAAAAGAAGACTTAATTAATATGTTTTATAAATCAACCTAGCTCGAATTACTAAAATACTAAAGTCGCAAATGAAATTGATGAATGAACTGATCATACTCACTACAATTATACACTTTTCAAATGTTTAAAAGCAAACTTTCACAATAATCTTTAGGTAAATACTTGATTTTAGTAAAAATAACTACATATGTCAAAAGTATAGTTTTTTTTTTTGTCAAGCTCCTTACCCATCCAAGGGCAGGAAGCCAGTAAACTTCGTAGATTTATTCACTTGAAAAATCTGCTTTAGAAGAGATCAGATATTCATTAGATGCCTGAGAATGGTTTGTGTTTGATCTCAGACTATTGCCTGATTCTGAACTGACCTGATTTTGATAGTTCTTTCTGAAGAAGACGTAGGATACTATTGGCACAGAATACCGGAGCGCCTGAGAGGAAGAATACTATGGGTGCGTAAGTATTTACATGCCTACATGACACTGGTGGCAATTCGAATGGTTACACACTCCTCTTTACGAAATTGGGCAATTCTTTGGAAGCAATCGGTGTCAAAACACTTGATTCAAGTAATGGCACTATAGTGAATTCCATTAGTCAGCATCTAATTGACATGACCCCAACATTATTTGCAGCACATTCTAGCAGCATGGCAAGGTGTAAAGAATATTTTTTAGCTTACTATGTATAATAAGTAGAAAGCCTGTTTGCAGTAGTGAAAAAGTAGGAACTTTCGATGTTAATGTTTCTAGAAGATAAGGGTTGTTTTATGTTTTACTAATATTGACTAGTAGTACAGCTGGGACGATATCGAAGGTGGTAAATTCTCGAAACTGAACATTAGGATGCTGAAGCAAGTTGTGAAGTTTTATCCATTTCATGGATGCAAAAATGAGGTTTATCAATTTCAAGATAATTAGGCTTTACCATAAAGCCATGTTCACTTTGAAGCAGTTGAGCTAAGGATCATGTGTATTGACTGATTTTACACAAATTTAACATTCCATTCATTCCTTCAGTTATTTTTACTTGTCAGTGCTTATGCATAGTCCTTTCATTGTAGAATTATGAAAAAACTCATTATATTTCCCATGTTTTGAAGATGGAGCCTAACAAATGGACGCAATTTCCCTCAATCTAACACCTGTACTTCACTCAAAGTATCATTTATTGAGTTAAATCTTCTGTAAACACACACAGCTGGCTTATAATTCAAAATAATGACTTCTGTGAAGTGAGCGGAATATCAGCAGCATTTGAATTTATAGTTCAGATAAGCGTTTATGGAACGTTGCTAATACTTCAACTACCGACTAAAACAATAAAATAATTTCATCTTGGCAGATAAACATTCGACTGCAAAAACACAGAACTACCAAGTCAACGAATTCATAAATACTACTATTATTAATGCTAAATCCCATCACCTTAGTTCAAACTAAATCACTCGCATCATCTCAGTACTTTGGAAGGAATGCAATGCAGTCGAAGTACACGGGGCTATCCTAAAGTACCTCACTTTCGACTAGAACTAATTTGATAGCGGTGAATTTCTTATTCCTCATTTATATTACAAATAACATGTTTTTGACGTAATCATTCGTCACTCAACTCACTATTTTCAAGTTGGGTATATTGCCCAATCTTATTTGCCAATGCAGAACTGTCTCAACGACTCGCCTCCCTGCTACCAAACAAGCTAATTTTAAAGCATTCTGCATCAATTTAACTAAGTTTCCAGCTAAAATGTGAAATACATTCGACTTCATTTGCCTTTACAACAGCCAAACTTCCACACTCCCCAACAAGTCATATGAACTAGCCATTTCTATCAAGCTTATGCTCCTTTGAAATGTTAGTTTCCCCATCGTTAATTGTAGCATATCATATTCGATAATACTTACACGCAACAATATATATGGAGAAATTTTATAATGAACATATTCACATGAATTATGACTGTGATTTGTAATCCCAACTGCATATACATCAGAAAACTTAACACAAAACTTATACTTTCATCAGTGATCATTGGGGCTAGATGAAGAAGTCCGTCGAAATTCCTAAAATGAAATTTGAAAATTAAAATGCGGACAGCGATAGCCCCTTATTTACTTGTCAGAATAATAAGTATCGAAAACATATTCAGTCCTTCTGAGTGAAGGATGGGTTGCAGTGGAGAAATTTCTGTGAATGGGAGTGCAATTGATACTTTATTTTAGACAGCTAATGTAGTGGAGTTTTATTCGGTGAATAAGTCTAAAACTTGGTTAAATTGTACCAACCCTTGTAAAATTACGTTACCGATCCGTAGTTACAGAATTCGTTGAATATATGCTCATATAACAATAATTTACTTGACATTCGATTGTGTTGAATTCATCACATGGAGAATTCAATTCTGAGACTCTCCCTTAATAGAACTATAAATACAACAAGGAAGCCTGCGCTTCTGTCGTGACGCAAAGATAGACGAAATGAGGACACTATCTGAAGACGTGAGGAATACGTGGTGGCCAAAAGCATAACTCCTGTTAATGCATGGGTTAAACGTAATTAGCCAGTCATTTGTTTTTAAAAAAAAAACTCTCAAAAGCGCAATTTACGCCAAATTTTAATATTGCAAGAATTACCAAATTAGATCCATGTGAATGCTACCCCAATACGTAAAGAGCTTATTTGCTTAAACACACCCGGCCTCCAGTGCTTTTATTTTTCCAGGGTGTGGTCATCGCGCACTTAGATATTTACTTTGGAATTTTAGACTTTGGGTAGATGAAACCAAACCAGGGCTGAGCAAAGCAGCGTGACCGGGTTTTAAAAAACAAAGGGCTTTTAACAAAGGAAAAGGAAAACTCACTTCACGTACCATGCCATGGAGATGCAAGCGTTCAAGACTCTTGAGGCCTTCTACAGATGAATTGCTTCTTCGCGAGAGAACCGGTCGGTAACGTGTTTCTAAAGGAATTTTACGTATTCTGCTGCGCTCAAAGTAAGTTTCAAAAAGCCAGCAAACGGGTTATTTGATTACAGTTGTCATCTTTTTTGAACACAAAGCGCAAAATTTGTCAGGGTATACTTCCAAAAACAGTAATATGACTTGGGTGTCAGTAGGAATGTTGACAAAAAAAAATTCGAGGATAAGCAGGACAGATTATTCGATATTTCATGAGACATTACTTTCAGCTTGTTTTCTAAACAAGAGCCCATTATATTTACTAAACATCAACTTCGGCGGAGATTGGAAGTGCAAGTTAAAACTAATCGACTTAGACATATGAATATGTGTGGATAAGTGTAGGAGTGTTCAAACCATAAATCAACATTAGATGAAAAATCTTACAATGCAACATTAATGCAATTAGTTGACGGATTAGGCCAAATGAATGATTTCATATGAATCAAGAAAAGTTCGGCAAACGGCTATTGTGATTTATAAATAATTTGGCCCAGTAACTAAATAGGCTCGTCTGTTGTTTGATAAAAATATTACTTCTAGGAGCAAAACAACTCCCTCTGGTCATCTCTTTTCTATCTCGTTTTTATTTCCAACTTCTTATTGTATTTGCAAACTGATTCCATGATTGGCTAATGTCGAGAAAAGGTATTAATAGTGACCTAGGGGAATATCAGTTAAAGAAATCTCGAGTACACGGATGAGGTTGAACCCCTCTCTCTAGGGTAAGTTATGCCGTGTGCGTTAGGAGTTTAAGGTCCTTTGTCCTGATGTTTTCTTAGAGTAAGAATGGGACACTCATTCAGACCAACAAACTTGTCCTGGCTGTTTCTGGAACAGAGTAGGTAATCTAGCCCGTAACTAAATTTTAAAATAGCTAATTCATCATGAAGAGGTAGAGCCTTCATTGCACCAAACCTGCACATAAAGCAGGTATTATCTTGCGGGAATGAAATGGTGATTGCCTTAACGGGTTGCGGTGGGTGCTGGATTGATCGTTTGGAACATTTAATGGTTTGTTCCCTCACTTTATCAACACTGAAACACAAAGGCCATTTGTTGTCACAATTCAGTCAGTCAGTAAGTCAGTAAACAATCTTCCCTCAATGGTGTGTTTTTATAACGTACGCGAATCGAAGAACAAATGTATGGACTCTAGAACTTATTGCCATCTGTTAACGCAGAACATATGACTCCCGTTTGCTTGGAAGATTCTGTGACTTTCACAGTTGCAGTACATGGACACAGACTCTCTCTACCACAGGTACACATATCGAAGAGTTGCTGTTGTCACGCTCACTTCCAGCGATTTAAGGTGTCGCTAGTAACTCACAGTTCTCCATTATTGTAAATAACAAGGGACCTTCATAAACGCGCTGCAGATATATTCGAAGGATCCATCAACAGAAACAAATTGTCCAATAGAGATCGTTTCTAATACCTTATACTCTACCCTCTTCAAATACCTTAAATAAAAAATAACGATTAGCCAGTTTCTGCAACATGGAAACCAAGTTTAGCTCGAATCTTGAAGCAGACGAACTTGAAGTGGATCTATCAAGTACGTTCTGTCGACATTTGAGGATGTGAATTTTGTTTCGAAATAGAAGTAGAATGTGCGATAAAATATCATAAAGGTAGGCCGACGCATAACTACTCATGCCTTATAAAGATCTATCTAAACGACTGCTTATCAGTTATAACAAGTTGTTGTACCAATCTACACAAAAGAATGCAAGTACTATTTGGTAGCCTAATATTCCTCAATTACTTAGGCATTGGTCTTCCCCACTAAAAAGCGACAATTACTTGTGCTTTAATAAAGGATTGAAAGGCATACCGGATTTGCTTACCTTAACAAAATTATCTGATACAAATAACAAAATTGCCCTGAGTCAGTCGCATCCTACACATGGGTTTAGATAATGATGATTTAAAAAGGTTTTAGAACAATTACTATCAATTCCGATAAGTGCAGATCACATATCCGTTTTCATTAAAATCAGGGCGATTTTGGCGTCTACAACCGGAAGTACTTTTAATGGATATTGTGTGCATGTTTCCGTACTTGTGTACGTTTAACCTATGTCTGCCAAGTGTAGCGTGATGTCCACAAACAAATCAATCCTTTTGCCACTTGCATTGGACAACAATTAGCTCATCTATGGTGTTACATACGGACAGGTATTGTAATGAATAAAAAAATCTCGACATTCAGAGGAGCCTGTGGTGATCTATATCTAGAACTAAAATACGGGGGTTCATTCTCTGCTGTTCTTCGGCAAGAAAATCTTTTAAAAAAATGGAATCTAGTGGAAATCATCAATAAAACACCGATATTAAAGCACGTGGTTCTGGACATGACGCTTGCCAAGAAATCTACTATAAGGTTTATTTTCTGAGTTTTCTACATAAAACATCTTGTTTAAAAATAATCAAAACAGCTAAGTGGGATTAAAATAAAAAGTTTACGCGATAAGACATTTGAAATCTCCATCCTCGCGAAGTCAGCATTCTTACGAATGAGCTCGTCTCCACGGAAGCTTTTGTCGATGGTCTCCAAAATCGGAACTTCATCTATAATCTAATAAAAAGGGAAACTTTCTCGCAACATGCATCCTCTACAAACCATACAAAATAATACTTGTACAGATGTTTGCAAAGGGTGCCCTATAAGAGATTAAGTTAGTGACAATTTACCTGTGAATCAAAACAGGCAACGCCTTCGATTTCCATGCCCGCGCTTTTGCTTCTAACATGAAGAACGATAAACGCGGATCTTAAAAACCACTTCAAGGGGCCTAATTATAGATCACGATATCACTACTGAAAGGTGGTGGTTATAATTTTATTGGTCAACAAACTCTAGTCATGAGGTTTTCATTCCCCAAAATTAGCAAAAATGACACAGAAAATAATTTTCGATCGATATAAAAAGTCATTTGCCATCAAAATCCTTTATTTTAAAAAGTTAAAGTCATTTAAAACATCGTCAGTCATAACCTTCAGCCCAAAATATGCCCATTATTTTATCAATGATTTTAAGAACATTTTTATGGGAGATTCTATTTTAATTTATGGTATTTTACTAACGAACTTAAGTAAGTTCGCACCACATTAATGAAAACTGGTTCGTCACACATAAATGTGATCACAAACAGTTTCCGATAATATTGTCTATGTGATTACAACCGAAAGTTTGGACTTAATTGCATACGATTCTTGGTTCCTGCAAATCACTATCTATTTCTGGCAAATGCAACCTCAGTGATACAAAAAACATTTAAAAAATCTGTGTTGTTTCAAAAATTCTTAAAAATATTTCTTATAATGTTCATATTTTAGTCATACAAGTCACAACAGTATTTATTCTTTTGAGTAAAAATTATTTTAAACCATAAACTATAAGCCATGAAATATCAAAGGATGTCGAGATTATCATATACACCTGATGGAAGGATTGAATTGTACGAACTTATTTAGGCCAAAAACGTGCATACACAATTTGGCGAAAGCTTACCACAGAGGCAGTAGACAGTTTGGCGTGAAGTCCATCCATGTATTCGCAATATATGTGTTGAATCCGATAGGCAAATTTTTTCGCCTAAAACACCGAGTACTTTCAAGTCTATTTTTGAACCCAATCCAGCCAGTATATTCGTAAGAGTAGGGATAGTTGTACCTTGGAAGACATTCTAAAAGCAGTAAACTTGGACATCATTTTTTCGGACTCATGTTCCTTAAACGTCACAATAACTCCCAGTACCCGAGGTTCAGTTGGATGTACCCAAACATAGGTGAGATTTTCATGTGGAAATTTTATTTTGATGTTCTAAAAAACGCATTTAAAAATAGTTTTTATGTATCTAAAATCTAAGCATGTTTAAAAAAGGTTTAGGGAATGTAAAATAATGGCAAAAATAAATGAATTTAAGACTAGGCTAGGTAAATTAAAAATCATGCCAGATAATTACTAACATTATTCTTATCTTTTGCAGCAGTGCCAGACTGATCTATACACAAAGTTACAAGCTCGGATCTATGATTTCCGACTTCATTCAGCTTCCTAATCAAAAGGTAAGCATAGTGACATATCCCGTTGCCATGCGGATTCGGGACATCTGCAGTGCCAAGAAGAGTTGCGCTTTCACTGATAGACGCAGGACAGGACTTGTATTCTTTTCCATTTGTTTTCTTTAACTTAACAGATATAATTGATTGAATAGTGCAACATTTTAAAGACAAGGAACGGTAAATTGTACAATGGTGCTCTAAGTATCTAGAGACAATTCCAGCAATTTGCAACTTACTTAAAACATAAAATAAAACCAGATAAACAACAAATACCTCAATAAAAAACCAATAAAATATCTTAGAGCCTTTTATTTAATACAGGCACGACAACAAATCGTCATATATGATATGTCGGTGTTATAGCTGCTGCGGCTTTCAAGGTTAATAGGATTTGAACTATTTTTCAATCCAAAAATCGAGGCTAATGACTCGAATATAACTTACAGAGGCCAGTACAAAGGGGTTATAAACACGCTTTGCCATTTTTCACCCCGAAGTGAGGAAAATTTTACGTTCCCGCGTATGCCCGCCTATAACCTTGGACTTTCATGCACGAAATATTTCATGTGAGTTTAATCAAAAATTTTCAAAAACATTGCAATGGTGCTATTGCTAGCATTACAAATATCTCCATATGTACTTTAAGAAATAGCCGTCCGAATGCATTTCCAAGCACAAAAGCGTTTATATAAATAAAAGTGCTTAAGGTTCGATTACACATTGTTAGAGTTACTTGAAATTACAAGTTAATGAAGTAAGTGTTGACCATTTTATTCAAGCAAATTGTAAGGTACAACCTGTTATTATTGTTTTACACAAAACACGACGGCGCCAGCGCATCGAAGAGAATACTTCTGGGTTACGTGAAGGCTAGTGGCGGTTGGTTTAAGCTTATTCCTAGATTTATTGAGTTGATATGTTGTTTCGAAAATTTCACCGCTGAGTATTGTTATGGGTTGGTAACGCTTGGCAACTGTGTATCTAACAGCCCTCAGGACCGAACTGCTCGAGAGGGATTGCTTACTATCGGTTCCCAGGATAAGAGCTCGATCTTGTCCGGGTGCTTTTGCCTGGATTTGTGTTGTTTTCTATTCTACTTGAAGATAAATTTCATTTGGTACCATATTTGTGGACTTTTTGGTTTCAACGGATCCAACAACATGCTGGGTCTGTCTGGGTGGAGTTTTCTGTGGAGAAGGAATTGAAGGTCACCGAGCCGCGATTCCACCGTCCGTTCGCTGGCTTCCAGTGTTTGTTGAGATGGGTTGTCTTCAGACGTTGGTCTTCTTACTTTAGCTTGTGTAGGTGATAGGCCGCCTTAGTTATTATGCTTGGAGGCGTTCAATTTCACACTCAACTATTTAGCAGTTTTGACATTCCTGCATTTCCCTTCGTCATCAGAGCTCAACCGCACATCTTCGTGTGCTCGGTTGAGGTCGTCTTCTGGGACAATAATTCTGGCGCTGTGTGCTTCAAACGTGATCGAAAGGTGGATTGATCTGCACCAGATTTTCCAATATCCTGAGAAAATAACTGATCTTTTGTGTGTTTTCTGGCTCTCATCCTCCCGACGGCTTCATCGTGTCTAGCTACAGTGTATTCTATGTAGACATTTCTCTAGCTGAGTGTACCACCTAGGAAATCCCTAGCTGCGTCCAGGCGATGATCATGTATTTGTTGTTACGAAAATACTCCCATCCTTCAATGTTAACGGTGCTGTGCTGACCAGATCTCGCCTTTCAGTTACCTTCCTGACCTCCCTTAGTCATATCTCGCAGAGCGATGCTCTGGACGCCCTTGAAAGGGGTATGGTCAAAATTTCTACCCAATGAAGCATCTTTAAAAAAGTTTGAAATGCATTTTGTGAACCCTTTATGCGAATACGAGCAAGCCAGTGCTCTCACTTCAAACCATAATAGACCCGTAGTTGATTTTTTGAGTATTAGCTTCTCAATTTATCTCCTATAACGAATGTTCCTTGAATAGAAAGCTTGCTTATTATTGCCTAGCAGCATAGACTAGACATTTTTTGTGAATGACTTGGTGGGTTAGTAAATTATGCTTTTTTGGGCTAGTTATGCCATGGGCAGACAATGAATTTATTATTTGAAGTCTCTGCATTCGTAGTTTCCTGTTATTAAGTTAATTTTACCCTGTAATACAATGGAGGTTGTATATAAGGTGTCGATCTGCTGGCGTCAATTTGAATTATTTTCCCTTTCAGCTCGATGTGCAGCTGACCTCACCGGACGGTTTGTTGGGTAAAATACCGAGGCCTGGTTGGGCCAGTGGTCTGCAGGTCGAACGATCATGGAAACTGATCTCCAGCGCCCACCATATGCCTCAGAGTCGTGGCTACTTTTGGTAAAGCACTATGGGAACGAATTCATTTTTGAATGCGCTAAAATGCCTCATGTAACGGGTTGTATTGCTCTTGGCAACTTTTCTCTGTCTCGTTTCTGCACAGTACGCTTTGCTTTTCAGTTTCCCTGAATGTCCTCCAGACTGACGACTCCTTCCACTGGAAGTTCTGTGCGCTCCTCAAAGTGCACTTTCTTTGGTCTCTGTCCCTCTGGTTTGGATAACGGAAATACTGATAGTTACTACATGGCCAGTCATCGCTGTTGCATCGATGAATTCGTTAGCACTTCCTTGGAGAATTTGGGCATTGGCCTTTTGTGTACAGCAATACGGTCCCAATGTAGCCCTTTTATTATCTAGGGAACGCCTTTGCACTCTTATCTATATGAATTTGCGATCACCTAGTGTTAGTTATTCACATAGCCCGGTAATTCTTTTTCCGACAACCTAAAATACTAAAATCTTAAGAATAATGCAAGTCAAGTGGGAAATTTCCTGTGTGAACATTTTTAAAAATGTTAATAATGTTAAGAGTTTAGTTTAGTCTACTTAAGGCGTTATGGTACCCATCCAAAATAGAAATTTTGGGGCCAATCTTCATGGCTTCTTTAGTCTTAATTTATGCAAAGATTTTCATAACTGCTTTAAGCCGTACTTCCAGGCTTGGAAACGAGTTCGTGAGAATCTGGAGATTCATGTAACCGCCAGTGTATCAATTGCCATTCAAAACTGGCTCACCATTGTCACTCAGGGTGGTTTGGAGTGGTACGAGGCAAAGGGATGACATCTGCTTGATGCCATTGCATTCTACTGGTCATCTAGGGTTGAATTTTGCCGGCAAAAGGATGCTCATGTTAATTCAGAAGAGTTAAAACTTATTATAATTCTCCCATAAGGCTTGAATGTCCCTTCTATGTTTTGCAATGCATTATAATTTTGCGTACTGGGCACATTTTTCTCTGAGTCATTGTACCGTTTTGCGGCTGAAGGCTAAATCTCTTCCTGAATGTGTACACTCGCAAGCTGAAGCTTACTTTAGTGCCCGGTGATTTGCTGGCTTTGCATGAGGGATTCAATGGCCCTTATTAGGGTCTGCTTGCAGATACGGCGGAATTACCACTCTATTCAATATACCGTTTGAGCACTTTGCAATAACTCTTGGAATTTGTAATGGTTTTTTCATGATTTTGCTTCTTTTGCTTCCACTTTATACTAATCATTTTCACATGGCCGTAATGACTCTACACTTTACTTATTATCCTCGAATAGCGCAGATGTTCAAGATAGCATCTTCTGTTATACGTTTGCTTGTTGTTGTTGGTTTGGTATGCGAATGAGCAGTCGACAGGAAGTTATCCATGTCCGAGTTTCATGCCTCTACTTGCGTCAATCACAATACGAGTAGTTCATTTAGAGAGCAAATTCGCGATTCTTCCTGGTCATCAGGGTTCTAGCGCGTCACTTGATGCCGCAACCGGCTAGTCATAAAGCTATTGAGATAATCAATCTTGACTCGATCATTAGTGGGATGCCTGTGGCAATCGAACGTTGGAATTGGCAGTTTGGTCATCGTTCCCCATTTGGCTATGCTGAACATTAACCCACTGAGTACGAAAAATTCAATTCATCAAACGATTTGCAGATTTTGCGTCATTTTCGGTATGTTTAGATGTAATCTTATAAAATGCACAAGGCTGTTTATGTGCGTTACTACAAAGCATATGTACGCATTAATCTATCGTCATAGTACTCTGTACCACTTAATATAAATCAAATGCAAATTTTTGGTTGAATGAACTTGTTGAGAATCCAAATGTCCAGAGGTGTCTCATTAAATTTGTTGCAAAGTAATTGGGGAAGGTGAAATATGTGGCGGCAGAAAAGACCACTCAGAAATGGTTTTAATTACATGACTTGATTTTGGCGAAGCATCACTCAGATGTATATCCACTACATTCATTAAGTTCGCCTGGTCTTATAACTGGGGAAATATTTGTTGCTAGTGTCACTAAGTAATGGAAAATTAACAGTTTGAGTGGGAAAACGATTCGTGCACACGCGCATCAGATGAGAAGGGGAAGTCGAGGAAGCTGATAAGGGAGTGAGTGCAGTATGCTATACGTTAAAATGTGACAATAAGCTTCGGTCGCTCCACTTGTTCACTTCGTGTACGTTATAAGAACGGCTAGATTACTAGTAGGACAACCGACTTACCTGTGATTATAGGGAGGAAACATCACTGGTTTGATCCAAAGGGTGCAATTATTGCTGGGATCTCACGAGTCATACCCCCAACCGTACCCGTCAGAAGACCCGACACCCCATATCAGGACGGAGGATGAGACAGTGTCGCTCGTCCAAGTTATCACTACTTTAACTTACATAGTCACTTACAAGATAGACCTTTTAAAAAATGCTAAAGACGGAAGCAGTCTGACTTTCGCCTAAGAGGACGTTTTATGGAAGTGAAACTGTCTCGTTCATAAAAGGGTTGTGATGGATAGCCTTTTAATAAGAGCACTTAAAAGAGGTTCTAGCGGTCATTAATTTTGCCGTAAAGACCACACGGGTTTATATCGTTACCTTTCATAGCATTGGGAATTTTATGAATGCGAGTGAAGACCTGTGCTGGTAGGGGCTTCAAACACGCTTTGCGTAGAGTATGGACACCTAAAGTGGTTCTTTACTGACCTACTTTTTTATAAAAGTTGAGCCACCAAATTAAAGCGTAGGATTAATTGAGGATGAATAGTATTTATGAAGTACTGCCATCTAGCTGAGCAGTTAAAATTCCTGAAGTCTTAAACGAGAAAAACAGCATACGATTATTTCCGCCTCACCAATGGAGGTAACTGCTTAGAATCGCATCTTTAGATAACCACATTTGATTTCTGTTTTCTCGAATTTAAACAGTGTTTTTTAAGGCACAAACCTGATCATAAATCATTAAATCACCCGCGGAGTGAATAAACAACACCACAGAACGAATTACATTTGTTTTATACGAAATCCCTCAATTTCATATCAAAGGACACAATCATTTTACAAAATCCGAGAAGCGTTCTGTGAAGGCGAGAAAAGTAAGTAGATTGCTAAGCTTCTGACTGGGCAAATCAATGGAATCTGCAACAAGGGAAGAGTCACATGAGTGCTTAAGGTGACTCGTGGAGTTCCTTGTCGGCTTTTGACATCCACGCGTTCTTATTCGACGCCGTGCCGAGCGACCCGAAAAATTATAGGATTGCTAGAAAAGGCCGAGTACATGGGCGAAATTCGGATAGAACACACATTAGGAAAGCAAAACCAGTAGGGTCTAATACATTTTACTCATTTGGGATTGAAAGGAACAAATAACATAACCAATAGACAAAAAAATTAGAACTGCTGTTCGCATTATTGTACAATGCTGGCAGATACAGGAACATGAAACCAAACTGAGAAAACCGAGTTAGCAAAAGAGCTAAGTTTTAATAAATGGAAAACACCCGGTCTTCGGCATGATTCCCTACTACATTTGTACACGTATCTCAACGTTTATTTAACATCTGGAAGGTTTGACCAAATGGTCATAGGAATGACTGCTGTGGACTAAAGACGGAAATGCTACCACCAGAATCGTAAGTTGCAAAAGTCCCGCTGTCTGTTATCTTGACTAATAGCGCCTGGATTAGTCCATGACATTTAGTGACTACTAATTTGTAAAAAGGCAAACACGATACTGATTATTAGTGTTACCACTAGTGTTCCCCTACAATCCTTTAAAATTAGAGGTTTCAATTTGATCCAAACACCCCTTGTGAAAGCCTAATACAATCTAGGAATGGGCTTTCACTTAGAAGATAACTACTGTTTGAATAATCGAAAAGAGTGAAGGCCCCTTATTGACTGTAAGGTACAATAAAGTTACTCACAAATTCCACAGCTAAACCTCTCGAGAGGGTATGCTTATCGGTCGCATCGAGCCCTGGATTTATGAGCCAAATCGTGGCCTGAGAGTAGATGAGGGAGAAAGCCAGTTCATTTACTTCCATCAGTAGAGGCCTAGGTAGGAAATCCGGGTGACTTTCTTTCCAAGGTTGCACTCAGATGATGTACTAAAGAAAACACAACTTACAGAAGTTCAGTGTGACGGTCACAAGGCTGGTTCACAAAAAATTGTGAGTTATGGATCTGGAAAAAAAGAGAACATTAGAAATGAACAATGGAGAATAGCCGAGTAGACTCCTGGCATACGTCTGCAATGATTTGACTAGAGGCTCGAGCGACCGAGAAGAGTACACCAAAAGTGAGAGTGTTAGAAGGTTCCATTGATGGTGTGGCAAATTTCAATGTTGCCTCGGGTGCCAACGCCGCTATTTCAGATGTCTTGAAATGCAAAAAAAGGATTTCCTTGAACCTGCCAGTGATATATCAGAGGAAACTGAAAAAATAGACACATTTACAAAGAAAATATTTACTTATGTCGAAAACCCCAGACTAAAATAGTCATGCCACTTTTGTCGCTAGCTTTATGAATTAGAACAAGCAAGGTCCAAAACACTATGATAGCATTTTTTACTCTTAATAAGGGTTCATCGTCACTAAGAGCAGTACCCAGGAGTGTGTACCATTTTTATCCTCAAAGCTCTTACAATTAAAATGGATGCCAAGTTTAAAAAAACAATGGATGATATTCACTTAAACAGCATGAGGTGGCTGAATGAATGAAAATGACTAACCGAAGCAAAGGACAGATCCCCTAAGCGTGGAGTCTCAATAGCAACCAAACGAAGGCAGCTACTCAGCAATCGCAAAATTGGAAGAAGATTCAAGTTGACAGACAGCTTTGACGCCTTAAGATTCTCTGGTGAATGCTTTAGCATTGAAGATGATGATGCATCTTTAGGGGAATCTGAAGGGCCCGGTCGTAGAAGAAATAGGGCGCAATTCCGCGTCAACTGAACAGCTGCGGAGTAAATAGGGGTCCAAACGTCTGACGGAAGGCAGATTGACGCACCGTCGGGCTAGAAAGATGTGGTTTTACAGAAAACAAGGTAATTAGCAACTACATTCCTTGCTAAATAATTCGGATTATAAATAATAGGCGTGAAGTATACATGAGCCAAAATCGTAATCCAAATCTAAATTTTTTGATATCAGATGTTATCAGGACGCACTTCGTCAGCTTGACGGATCGGAAACTCCAAGAACAGCATAAAAAATATGCCACTAATTTCAACCAACTGATAATTTCATTCAAAGAATATGTGGACACATTTTCTCCTAGACTTACTTTTACTAAACGTGATATCGGCGGGTCGCTTAAATTCATAGATAACCCCCGATATTAGCTCCACTGGCAAAAAGTGCAAATTCAGTAATGACCATTGCGTTATAGGGTGATCCACACCTAATAGAGATCCCAAAACGATGGAGATACCGAGGCATTCTGATGGTAAAACCAAAGCAGAGCGCCTTGGATCAGTAACCATCACTGCTCTGCTTTGTCTAGTGTCAAAAACGGATGAACACAAGCATAAAGACCAGGCCTCATCAACTGGGCTGGAGTTGCAGTGCAAAAAGTGGCAATCCATCCGAAATATCCGACATATTTCTTTCTAGCCGATCATTCTGCACACATTGATCCGTAAAAATCAGTACACTAATATCCGAAGCATGGAAAAGAATGACAAACGTTAACTAGGCCTATAAAAAATTCTATGAGAATATCAAAATAGGTTGACACTTGGTTCCATCGAAAACACCATGCAAATTTACCAATTAAGCAATACAAATATACAATAGAGGTTCGGGTGGAAACTGATGGAAAAAGAAAATATAACTTAGATGATGCCCTTATTTGAGAATGGAACAAACATTATTTTTGATACCTTTGAGAGGATGCTTATTTTTCATCTCAGAAAGGTAAAAAATAATTAAACAAAAAAAACTTACCAAAGAATGCTTCTCACGATGACCCTGAGCAAAGAGTACTGCTGAGGCCACACACGTCGGTGAGACGAGTTTTGTGACAGCAGGTGAGGAGTGCATGGCACACCAGTAGAGGTCGAGGATAGCCGAAGCAATCAGCAGACCCCTTGGTGGAGCCGTGAGAAGAACGCAGAGCTGCTCATGATTGTTGAGGAGGAAGGCTCTGAGCAGATGAGCCATCGGTGTGCCGTCGCTGGCACCGCCTCCCTGCACCACCAGGAGGATGATAAGCCGCAGTTGGGAGAGCAGAAACTCACTCCATGCTGTGTTGGGGAAGAGGCCTTCGCAAGACCTGTCCTTGATGAAGAGGAAAAAGAATGGTGGACAATTTAAAACCCCGTCTGCAGAGATTTCATTCCTACCTACTTCTACAAGCACCTGTCAAATCAACCCTAACTTGCAAGCATTGCAAACTTGCATGCATGTTTGAATTAATAAAATGCTAACACTAGAATTAATGAGAAAAGTTATTCAATATGGTCCACTATTGCAACCGCTATTTTTTGTTTGCACATTTTCAAGATATCACATTTTCAAATTTCATAAAACAAACTTTTATGCTTTTAAAAATGACCAACCCGTCACATTGATGAGTTGGATAGAAATAAGCATAACACAAAAAGCTCAAAAGCTAGAAAACCTATGAGGAAGGAGGTTAATGAGCAAAAACTTTAAATAGAACTATTAAATGGTTAACACTAATATCTGGGCAACACTTTCCGTACCTCCCCTTGGGGTCATCTAGTTCCGTCAACAATACCTACAGAAACGCCTTCCAGACAAATAGAAATTCACCAAATTATTTCAAATTTCAAGCAGAAACTGAAATAGCCAAAAGATTTTGATAACCATACTGAGACAGCGTTTTAAATTAAAAAATAATGCAATTCGGCATTTAAATACATATTTAGACCAGGAGTGGAACAGAATTCAGGAGGCACAAATTTATATCTGAATCAAAGGAATGCGATGACTACTTATGAGATGGTCTATTTGATAGAATGAAATAGTGGTACAGAAATTCAGCACAGTCTTGAGCGAAGTTACTCTAAAAGAATAACCCGCAAAAAAAGCAAATAAATCGACACTGATCAAGCACAAATGTTCCATCTAAACGAAAAATAAATAAGAAGCTCTTAAGATTGGACATACCGAAACAGAACACAAAGGAAATCAGTAATATTTAAGCCCCAACAGTCAGTCAGATATGTAACTGGATACTTCTAGCAGCAAAATTTGGAGTGATCAGTGAAAATAGGACTCTAAAAGCCTTGAAAAGGCAAAATTTTTCATCAGAGATCAGTTGGTAGTATGACGGATGGTATAATACAATTCAAAAGGGCACCAAAAGGTCCTCGGAAAAAAGGAAAATGATGGGCTGAGCGCGTACGTATTAAAGTTGATAAACGAGTCAAGATGCAATACAATTGTATAGCACTTAGGCCATTTCACAGCAATGTAGTTGAGTGCATACGATCATCCACTACAAAAACAGTAAAATAAACTCTTTAATAGTAGCGTGTCAGAAAAGATAACAGGTTTCAAAGTAGAAAAGAGAATGTTCATACAGGAGATTTGCATTCGTCCGCCTGAGATAGCCATTGCATCAGATGTTTTGTAGGCGGTAGGCGAAGTGCCTGAACAAGAGGGGCTGCGTAAGAGGCCAGCACTTGAGTCAGCTCGGAGCACGACCAGCCACATTGACCAGTGACAATCTTGTCCCCATGCGGGGCCGGAGAGAGATCCGGATGGAGTGAGCACCCGGCAGGCAAAAGGAAACGCGTGAGTAAGCGCACAATGGTCTGGCCGAGCTCAGCTCCACTGAAAGTCTGCGAAGGAACGAAGAAGGCGGTTTTACCGTGGATCCGCCCATTCAAAACATTGTAATGTGCGATAGATGGGGAGAAAAAACTATAGATGATTGTGATTGTAGAATTCGAGTGGCCCAACTGTGATAATGAAATCGAGCAGTACTGTGGAAACAATACTACTATTCAATCTAGCAATATCGCAATTCGTGAATTTTATAATCCCCTACTCTTTTTAAAAGGTCTCGCGTGTAAAAAATTGCCATATGAATATGAAAAAAACGACGTGACAAGTCTACTTGTAAAAAAATAGTTCAAAAGACTACCATTTATCAGGTACATAACTAATAAACCAAAGTAACCACTTTTCAAACTAATAGAAAAGTACTCAAAACACCGCCTGGCTAAAAACTACAGACAAAGGATGCAGAGAAATGAGATATCGCTATTGCGAATTGGCAACTACTTATCCATCATTGCAGCATCGTCCATTGTAATGATTTCATTGTTTTCGGAAGAGAAAAGCTTGGAATTGTTTTTTTATGAATACAAAGCAATAATGCTTCCATGCTAAAGATAATCATTTACCATTGAATGTTCAGCAAGGATACCGATCAAATTGTTAATTATGCCTGCGTCCACTAGGCAATTGGCAAGATTGATGGCATCGAATTTGTTCCAAATTGCCTGCATCAAATTCATAGCCTGTTCAAAGGCCTATAGAGAAGGTGATCGATAAGCTCGAGGCTTCCGAATTTCATCTACGAATGAGAAAACGAATCCAACCTGTGACTCCACAGCGGTGATGCGAGGAAGCAAGGATACACCTTGAAGGACTTCTATGCACAGGCTGAGCAAGCGATCGTACAGATGGGACGATACCTGGTAACATTTTGGAAGGAGAAGGCAGATAAATGCCATTAGATCGGTGTGAAAATGTGAGTAAGTCTTATTGGTTGATGGCCTGGAGGCAGTTGGCACAGCCTTGTGTTCCAGCAACGCCACGGCTCGTCGTATCCACTCGTGGATGGGGAGTGGAGACATTTCAAAAGACCTAAAATGTGTGAGATGCAAATTGAGATAGGAAAGCATTTTTTTGGCAACATCAGTGACCAAGTTATTTTAAGTCTTGGAAATAAAAAAGAACCAAAGCATACCTAACGAGGTAGTCAGCAGATGCCGCTAAACAAACAGCCAATTGGTCGATAATTGAGACAACTGATGGACTGCGTGGCAAAGAAATCTGTAATCAAAAGATTGTTTATGAACTTAGCACTCTCTTGCTCACCCAAACCAATTTCACTTCTTTTATTACTTGGAAAATTTATTTCCTTTAAGCTATCTGACACGTTTACCACCTAGTCACATTTGCGTGACAGCCAGATTTATCGAAAAGCACACGCAATTAAAAGGGAATTAATTTGATTGAAAAGAAAACTAAACTGAAAACGATTGCGGTCAGAGTGACAAAAAAGTAACAATTTTTTTCAGAGACCGCGATAATGGGTACCAGCATAATCATCACCAAATTCTTATGGGCGAAAAATCACTTTGATTACAAAACCTTTGTTGAAATTATAGAAATACAGAGATCTCAATCCGTAGAGCAATAAAGACAAAAACGAAAGAAAAAGGAACGGATGGGTGTCCAATACCTTGAAATCAGCAGTTCTCTAAAGCTGTATTCAAGGATGTGGTCTTTACATCTTGTGAACACGGAGGAGAGCGAAAAATTTCCAAAAAAAACTTCATGAAAAATGAACGAAGAGTTCTCAATCTTACATTAATGTATCAAGAAAAAACGCTAAATTGAAGTAAATAAGCTGCCCTCATCATATTAAATGGGCAATCAAGAATGGAGTTTAAACAATGCGCTGGGCCACAAGTAAACTTGTATAAACTATTATTAACAAGCATTACGAGAATTTGAGAGATCCTTAAAAATCTTGCGATTGATGGAGGTCGCAAGGCACCCAAATTGTGTGGAAGTGCAGAAAAAGCCTACCCATGTAGTAGCCTTGTCGAGGCAGGCGACAACAAGACCAACGATTTGACTGTGGGAAGTCAACCGCATCTTGTCGTCCAAAGTAGAGATGTCCCACTTTAGAAGGGTGAAAAATACACCTTTCCAACGAACCATTGCCCAGTCAAGAGCTGTCATAAAGGATGATTTACTAAACTCGTCTGGTATGCTATCGGAACATCGAAATGCCGCCTGAAAAAAAGCAAGAATAATTATAGAAAGGACCCGAAACTCTAACTTCGCATGGTACCGTAGGAGAGGCCGAATCCATAAATCTATCTATAAGGCGAACCATTCAAGCAACGAAACCCTTAAAACCCAATAAATGCCAACATAACCAAACGGGGAAAATCTTCGCTTACCAAACTAATAAATTGCTCCAACTAAATCAGCAACTTCACATAAAGTTAATGATAAATCCTAAAGCATTAGCTCATTTTTGATTTCATTTCAAGGATGCTATGCATTTCCTAGTGAATTCAAACTCCCGAACCAACCGATTAAAAAACTCCTTGATGTAGGTGTATATGAAGGTTTACCATTGAAAGTGCCAATTATTTTACTGTCTTTCAATGTATAGGAATGTGAGCCGAAAAACGCTACACTGTTTTAGCATGATGGATGTATTTGATATGTCTAATATGCTGTTGGTTCAGAAGGTGTTTCCAAAAAGTAGAATGGCCTTTACTGGAGATAGGGAATTCCAAAATATCAAAGATTAAGAACATTTTAGTGTCGAAATGGGTGGCCTACTGAACTTTTAAGTTTGACGCATTACCTGAAGCCAAGGCTCAAGGAACTGCTGCACAAACTGCTTGCAAACTGCCGAGAAGGTGGCATCTAGTGTACTCGTAAATCTACGGACAAAAACACACCGGTTTGGTAAATTTTATGAACAACTATATACAGACGTTGAAAATCACCTACTTTAGAGACTCAAACAACTCAATGGCGACGACAGTGGCGTAGCTGCCAGCAATCTCCAGGTCTACAATGGAATGTTCCGCCTGGTAAACGAAAAGGCGTTTCATAAGACGTTAACGGGAACATAAGCGAAACCTATTCGAGAACAGTACAACAGACCTCGGACTCCCTCAATGTTGACACATATTTGAAAAAGGGATCACTGAGGCATTTCCAAAAATTGGCACTACAGAGGAAAGCAGTTGAAAACCGATGCAACAGCAACATCGAGAAACAAAGTACAGTGAAGAAAAACGCTTACGCCTCGCGAAGTTGAGTACGAAATGGATTGCTCGGTTGCATCCATATTGCCGAAATCAATTTCAGCAAAGACCAGTAAAGGTTGGTGGAAACGCAATTTCGCTCCTCCTAATAACCAACATAAGTCTTCAAAATAGGTGCGAATTTCATCAAGCGTTCTAATACTTCATAAAATGTTATTCATAAAACATTATCACATTCCTGCTACACTTCATAAGTGCAGTGTAATGCAATACAAGGTAACTACCATACATTACTTCCTGAAACACAAGTCCGATAATTTGGAGAAATCAAGCGTCAAATTCTTACACCGCTTGCCTTCAGCTCTTGCAATGCAGTGATAATGATCCCTTGAAGGCCGTCCAAATTTCCCTTGGTATTTGACGAAATCATTCGCAAAAACCCAAAACCTGGCCCGTTGAAGGGCGCATTGGTGGCACCGCTGAGCACATCAAGCATCACGGCCTCCGCCAACCAATCAAACAAACCGATGCGCGTGATCTGGTCCTCAGATGTGAAGCGCAGGCGGTAAATTAAAAAGTCTAGTAGACGTGGTTGCATATCGTGAAGGTGTGGAGTGACAAGGTGTTCAGAGAACTAAAAGAAAAATAGCGAAGAGTGTGAAATAAAAAAGAACGTTTGTGCTAATCACAAATTCAACCACTCGAGATCCTCAGTCTCGGCAAGGTTTGCTCATCAAAGCGACATGTCGCTGAGATGACATTATTTCAATCCATAGCCCACCAAGCCTCCTGTCCACTTATACTCAAATTGTGTCCAGACTGACAGCTCGTAGCACCTTCAGGGAAGACTCAGGCTCCACAGGTGAACGATTTAAGCGGAATGAGGAAAAGAAGACACACTTACAGGGGTGAGTTTCTTAAGCAGACTGACTGCAGCTCGAGTCAGCCCCACGGGACAAGTGGGATCGAGGAAGTCGAGGAGGTAGAGGAAGTAAGCACTGGAAGTGGCATCATTAACCGAGAGGATCTTAAGTGGTATCGTGGAGTGGATGGAAAAGAGGTTATGTAGAAGTGTGAGTGCAAGCCATGTCGACTGGACTCGGTACTGACCCAAGGCCGAGACGCCGCCGATTTGCTTCTCTTCCAATCGAGTAGAGAATCGAAGAAAACTAAGAGAAGAGAAACAAATTCGAATGTAAGAGTGGAAAGTGGTCGATGGCAGTTGATCAGCATTTGTTATATTCATAAGTGCAATCGTCGATCAAGATTAATGCATCAGCTACTTTATACATTTATTAATGCCAGAGACAGTGAAGATTCTCATGCTGTTTATGAAGTTTTCATAATAATTATTCCTTTAGCAGCAACACTGATAAAATATTATCAACTCACTCGAAGTCGGTAGAATGGAGGGGTTTTTGAAGTGCATTAACAGAAACCTTTGTGAGAGAGGCAAGGCAATTCAAGAAGGATTCAGAGTTTGCAAGGAGCCAATGTGCGTAGAAGCGCAAATCACGAAAGTGGAAAAGAGGAAAATTTAAAGACAGTGGATTCGATTCTTCAATGATTTCTACAGCACCGTCACCGCCCTCCAAGGAACATGAGGTAAGAAGTTCCACGAAGAAAAGCAGAGCTTTGTTGACTGTAAAGTTGGTGGATAGGGTTAGCAAGTCACCGTCTTAATGCGAGTGACTTTCCTATTGACCTATATGATCATCCAAATAACAGGGATATGGCCGCGAAAAATTCAGCAAACTAGACTAGGATCATACAGACTTCACAAATGACCATACATTCAAAAGAGTAATCAATTTTAAAGAAATTCGGATGTTGTCCATATTGATAATAGCAGATGTTTTAAACCAAAAAAGTGTTACGCAAACCCATGAAAGAACTGCGGTCAGCGAGATACGCTAACATTTGCTGGGTGAAAAGCCAGAAAGCTTACCAAGACGTAAGATTCCCGATTTGGTATTAGGTGATCCCGCAAGCAGCTTGGGGGTGATAAATCCACGAGAGTCGCCACTACCGACCTCAACGAGAAGATCATAACAAAAAACGAGACATGCTAGGAGAGGACTGTGATTCTCACCAATCATGGCTTCCTCTTCTAGAGTCTCGGTAAACCAAGATTCCATACCAGCGAAAAATGCCGCTTTCTCTGCGGATAAGAGATCCAACGCCAGGTCTAAATATACCGAAAAGAGACGGTAAGTAGTGGATGGAGAAATCTCGGCTGGCCACAGTGATGCCGACGTGGATCTTGAAATGATGCGCAGAAGGCAAGAGTCCGTCAGAGTAAAGATAGGCGTTCCAGCCGCTTGTTGCTTATCTCCCTGAGGTTGGAGGACTGCTGAAGGGAAGAGTATACGGTCAGCTTTGAGACAGCGAAAAACGCCATTGGAAGCCCCGTAGACGAGGTCACATTCTGCGCTAGAGGGCAGTGCAGTGACAGAATGTGCGGTGAGACGGAGAAGGCAGGGTAAGAGGTAGTCGACTGATAGAGTAGTCAATAAATCTCCTAATGGATTTTCTCGTTCTCCGCTCAGAGACTCTGTGAATATACGCGTAACGAGATTCCATAACAATTCCGCAATGGCCAAACAACGTGCAGGTTCAACTCTTGTCTAAAAAAGACATTCTCCGAGTAAATGAAATGGAAAACTATAAACGAAGACAACCCATTATAAACCAGGAGAAATCATTAAAGACCAATTTTTTGAGTAACATTTAGAAATGCAGACTTAATTTAAAAAAAATATCGATCTGGAAGACATCAAGCAAGCAGTGTAGGAGATACCTGGTGAATTTAGAGAATGAATTAGAGACTGCATTACTTTTATTTATCATAGCCAAAAAACTTGAACACATGTAAACCATTCGAAATACTTAATATAGGGGATGCATGATTTCTTAAAATATACGCATCAATGTTTCGGACGAACAACTCAGTGGCAACCGTAATGTATGAAGTGGACTGGTGCCCAAAGACTTGAGGGTAGAACAGCTAGCATCTGCGTTCTCGAGGCGCATATTAAAAAGAACTCACCAATAGACAGGCATCAACGAAATCCAGACACGAGACAAGACGCGAAATTGTTGTCGAAACATCCAGAGTACTACGTTTGGAGGGAAAATCATTCTGATGATCAACTCGGTTCAAAAAGAGTACCTGTTCGGCCGAAACTACGATAGCATTGAGCACAGGCCACAATGAATATTCGTGCTGCCAAACGACAACCGTTGCATCTGCAAAAACAGGATAACAATATTGGCGGAAATTAATTAAGAGGATAATTACAGTGCAATAAAGAGCACCTACTTTGCTTGAGAACGCCTCTAGTGCCGGCAGGAATGCTGATGGCCAACGGATTAGGCACGGACTTGCTGCTTGAAAAATGTTCCAGCTGTGGAGATCCTTCTGGTGGAAGAGACCAGCGTTGACGCAATAAACTTACAGTCGTCTCTTCGCTCTCATCCGCCGGATCGTGAAAGCGTACCAAACCCTTAAGGGATGAGGGCTTACATTGCTCTGCGAAGTAAGGCACACTTGAGATTAATTTAACCACTAGGTCTATCACACTCCCTTCGTCTTGAGCAATTGCGTTGTTGACAGCGGTGTGAAGTAGTGAAGTGCAGAGGTGTAATAAGTCCAACTTCATTGGGAATCCTGACAGAAACGCACAAAATCTATGTGCGATTGAGACCTACTCTGAGCGGCATCCTCAATAATAGAGACAATACGTTCATCGATTCTTGCAGGCTGAACTTCTTTAGTAATCATATTCCCACTACAATGCACAACGACGGAGAGGGTTTTAGCTAGAACACGAGTATAGCCAGTTTGATAGCCTCCAAGGGAGTCTAAAGCAACTTGATGAGCCAGAAGAGTGACAAGATCAAAGACAGCGAGATGAGTGGAAAAGCAAACCAGGCTCAGACTGTCAGGTATAGTGAGGAAATCGGAATTCGACCAAGTAGAGACGGTTGATTTGGCCTAGAGTTAAAAAAACAATCGTAATCAAGTTGATCAGAACTGGAGTTAGAAGAAGTGAAGAATGACATACTGTTTGAACCAAATCTGATTCGCATAGTACGTCGCAAAGGTAGTCAAATACACCCAGTTCACGAATCGCAATATCGGCGTAATTATTCGCCTTACGTGTTTCCTCCAATGAAGACGCAAAGACTGAGCCACAGACAGCGGCAAACAAAAGTAAGGGAGCATTTCCCCGAATATTGATAAGACTTGAAACACTGGCTAGAAGACGGCTGCAGTTTTTTTGGAGGAAATGATCCCTTTTGCTGTCAGTGGAATTATAAAGGCAAGTGTCATCAAGTCGACCAGCTTTTATTAAGGCGAAACACTGAAGATTCCTACGAAAATAAGAATTTTCCAAATTACTCCGTGACCTTTTACCTGATGCTATTAAGAACCTTTTGACAGGAAGTGGGGAGACAAGTAAGTTCTTTCCTTGAAAAAAATAGTGATTCCTAGAGAAAACAACGGCTTTGATATCCACGATTCTTTACCCAAAACGCTTCAAACAGCGAAGAAAATATAACTTCTGCATTCAAAGTTTCTGACACGACAGCAGCATCAGAGAGTGATAAAAGGAGAGCTTCAAGAGTTAATTCGATTTCCCGAAGAAGTTGAAGCAGTTTGGCATCATTTGACAGCTCAATTTGAGCCTGTTTACAAACGCAATTTATACATTTTTACAGATACAAAAGAGATCGTAATGAAAGCATACCCTTGCACTGAGGTTTACACTTAAAAGTCCAATAAATGATTCATACAATTCACCAAACTGACTGATCAGCTACAAGGTATGTAAAATCGGTTTTGATTCTCACCATCTGAGTAACCTCGGAATGTGAATTAAAACTTGCAGCACTGAGAAGAATGTCTGATATATGAAGCCACGATGCCTCCCAATGAGACGACATGATTTTTTGAAGTTGGATTAGACTCAACCTCTCGTTCCAATAAGCTTTCCGGACTTCTTCCATAATTTGTTGCGACCCAGCTACGCTGTGCAAGCTCTATTGAAGTTGTAAGTCCAGCGTATTAATGATATCGCCTTTACCACCACGGTCTGTGATTCCGCATCCTGGAGGTAATTCTTATACATTAATTCGGATACACGTAGTGTTGTAGACTAAAGAAAGTGGTACTCCATTACTGCTTACCAAAAAACTCGCAAGCTTGGATATGAATGCCCATTGCAAGTCATTTGAAACAAAATTTGAAGAACTGTAGGAAGTAAGAACGATAAAAGGGGACTACCTCTCTTGACCATAATATTTCAAACCGTTATTGAGTTGATCGGTAATAACCGCAATTTCAGATACCAGCTGGTCCTATATGACTGTTAAAGCGAAAATCAAAGTAACCTTAGTAAGGGCTCCGTGCTGTGCAACGATGCGCTCCAGAACCCTTAGACAAGACCTAGATTTTGAAATAACCGTAGAAAATGCGTCATACATTCCCACTCTCGAATAACACGAGTCTACACAAATAAACAGAGAAACGTCTAAACGTGATTGGGTGATCCACTAAATGACCTTAAATCTAAAGCTTTTTACGAATTGAAATCTCACAAAATCTGCCTAATCTTTGTGCAGCCAAATCCGTTGTGTGGTTGTCGGACAAATTAAAATGATTGGAAAACCAAGTTTGTTCATGACAAATTTTCTGAAAATGCGAAACTTCTCGACATATGTTTCGAATGTTCCTCTCACTCAAGCTATACCCGGTTTTAACCTGAACTTCAATTCGTCCCTTTTATCGAGCAATTCAGCGGCAAATATATCCAAGTTAAGCAATGGCTTGACAGTTGCTTCACAGGACAAATTCGGCATGCATTGCACAATTGGAGGTATGGAAAACTTCTGTGAATCATTTTTAGTTATGTTGAAGGCTGGACCTCGCTACGAAAGTGGAACCATCAGCGGTGTGTCCCATTTTCTTGAAAAACTTGGTTTTCATGTAGGAGTTTCCTGTTTTTAGTTTCGGGTTAGTCCACTGATAGATTTAGGGATCGAGATCATATTCAATCCAAAATGGAATCGTGTAATTCTATTTTTGATTGCCAGATATCGAGGTAACTGTTTACTTTAAAGATCCTTCGAATCTGGTAGAGATTTCATCGTTTATGCTATTTCGGGACTGAATAAGCACTTAAGTGACCTCGTCCATGTTCTATCGGAGACAGTTTTGCGTCCGAAAATCACCAAAGACGAAGTTGACATGGCAGCTAGAGCCATTGGCTTTGAGCTGGCTAGTTTGGAAATGGCCCCACCCACGGAACCTATTCTTAACGATCTCCTCCATTCCGCTGCTTTTCATGGTTGCAATACTTTTGGTTTTCCTCGATATTGTCCAACTGAATCTATTGGCATCATATCTCGCCGTGAGCTTATGCAATTCATGGCCTCCTACTACAGGTACTGCTTTATTTTGAAGGTGCGGTTACTATTGCAAACACCTCTTAATGATTGAATAGCAATGATATCGACTGAGGTTCTTTTATTTCAATGTGTTTTACCATGTTTTTTACTTGTAGACCTGAGCGCACTGTAGTAGTTGGCGTTGGAGTGGATCACAGCGAATTCACCAACTCAGTTGAATCATCTTTCATGCCGTGGGAAACCAGTTATGGTGTAGAGGTTCCTGAGGAAGATCGTCTTACGCTGGATGACTCTTTGCCCGTGTATAGTGGTGGTGAAATTACCGTACGTAAACTATGGAACTCATGTAATAAAACTTCTTTCACATACTTTTCTGCATTTTATCCACTATTGTGAAAGCTTTTCCGTTCTCGCCTTGCTCCTGATTTTGTTTTTAGGGCCGTCAACTAGTATCTCTTTCATAATAGCTTAATCACTAAATATTCCGAAAGTCTATTAGTTCGCATCGAACTGTTTATTCCTCTCTCAGTCCTTGAGATTTAGGATATGGCTTAACGGGCCTACATACTATAGTTTCTAAAATAGTTTCCGACTTTTTTATTATAACTTCATTCTCGATTACCTTTGAGTTTATTTTACTGCATATCCCTGTTATACCTAGATCGAATTATTAGCCTCGCTGTCAATCTCAAAATGCATTTTTTTGGATTTGTGTTTGCTTTTATTCATGGAAGCACTTTATGCTCCAAAAATTTGCTGCAGCCTGGTCCGTGGGTTTATAAATGATAGAAGTTATCAAACCAATAGTCAAATAAGTCGATCTCTGTAATTATGAATTCCAAATTGAGCTGGTAATTCCCAACCCTTTTAGGTACCGTAGGATCTTTTCCGTATTGAAAGTCCATTTGAGCATTCCCTATTATTTTTAAGTCTGAATCGCTTTTTCTTCCACCTGGCTTTATTTAATCCTCTTTTACCTTTTCATCTGTCCATTGTGATGTTTAACCTTGGTCGTTCGCATCTTGCAAATTTTTTCTAGATTTTTCTGCGTTGGCCTAATACGAACTGCTAACGTTCTTGCATTCTCGTACCTGTAGGTGGACCGAGACCTGTCACAGTACCACGCACCCATGCCCGAGTTTGCTCACTGTGTCATTGGTCTGGAGAGTTGTGGCTCCCAAGATCCTCAATTTGTTGCTTCATGTCTCCTCAATTCCCTCCTTGGTGGTGGGGGCTCCTTCTCTGCCGGTGGTCCAGGGAAGGGTATGTACTCCCGTCTCTACACCAACGTTCTCAACCAGTAGGTTTCGGTTATTCTTGACCCATATGGAAAATAAACGTGTAAATGACAGCCATGTGTGCTTCGGAACATCATTTGCCTTGAAGTGCAATCCTATTCCGACTCTCCTGAGTTAAAAATGACCTTAAAATACGCAAATGTAGTTTGTGTAGGATCTTCCTCGATTACTTTGTTGCATCTGAGCTACATGTTTAATTTTACTATAAAATTTATCCGGAACTCACTAATTATTACTTTCAGACCTGATGAGCTCGGTTATTTCTAAGCAGTGAGAGTAAGTCCTACTGATTTAGGAGGGTTGAAAGAACGAAAGCTGGAAATTTATGAAGGCTGGGTTAAAGTCCTCTCAAATTTGGGAAGAGGTGCAGGCAAATTTTTTAAGAATCTGTAACATTTTTCTGAACTCGTTTCTGGCATTAATGTAAACCCTTCTTACCAGCTACTTAAAGTAGACGGCTCATTGTCAGCTGAACTTTAAGTTTTTCTTTGTTAGTGAGCCAACCTTTCAGTAGAAGTATTTGTGTGCAAAACCGCTGCGATGGTGGAAGCCATAATTGTCCTCCAGAACTAATTTGTCTACTTTTTAATTTTAAGTAGCTTAAATTTGCTCTTGATGTAATTCGTTGCAACAGGAATGCCTTCCAGTAATATGAATACAGAAACATCGACACACGCAGTGTTCCTGCTCTTTATCAAAGCTTACTTGTAGTGACATTACTAAGTGAATTATCAAGTTATTGCTTTCTAATGCTGTGCGCATTAGGCAATCAGAAACTTCTCCCACCCCCCCCCCCCTCCCTTTTCCATGCAGATACCATTGGGTAAACTCAGCACAAGCGACCAATCATGCCTACGCTGATGCCGGCGTCTTCTGTATTGCTGGAAGCGCCGAGCCCGCCAATCTGCACCGCTTGGTCCAAGTCTTGGCGGCCGAACTGCGCTTTACTGCAGAGGCACCAATCCCAGACGAGGAGCTTCAACGTGCCAAGAATCAGCTAGAATCGATGCTGCTGATGAATCTGGAGATGAACCCCGTCGCCTTTGAGGACATTGCTCGGCAAGTTCTTGCCTCAGGCGAATGGAAACCACCGGATTTTTGGGTGGAAAAAATCAGTATGTTGGTTCTTTCTTTCACAGCGCCGTCCATCCGTTACGGTGATCTTCGTGTTTTTTTGTAGATGCAGTATCGGCCGAAGACTTGCATAATTTGTTGATACGCATGTTCAAGTCACCACTGACACTAGTGGGCTTTGGCCGCATGTCCAATTGGCCGGAGTTGCGTGAAATCCAAGAGATGATCGCAGCCCCATTACAGACGCGTGGGACCCTTCCCTCCCTCTTCAAGCGATTCGTCTGATGCCAAGCGCCCTCATCCCTGCTCTTCCGTCTTTTGTACAAAGAAACCGATTATGGAGGCGCGTCGTGGTTAATTCCGATAAAGCCAACTGTTATTTTTCGTTTTGCGTTCGTGTGCGCTTGCGGGTCTAACCATGTCCTCATCCTCATGCTTAACTATAGTCTTGTCAGCTGTTAGTATACGCTCTCGACGCATGTGATAAGGCGCGTTGTAAAAAAAATGACACTATGGCTTGGACATTAGTTCAAAAAGTGGGAGCGAATAAGGTTGAAGAAGATCGCTCATGAAATGCGGGACACTGTGCTCTCGAGATTACCTGAAAACATTGACGCACCGATTACAAGGAACAAGTGACATTTAAGCGACAGATTACTTTCCATGTACCATTTACCCAGTCAGGTTTGGTTAGCTTGTTTCAACAACACCTCACTAGTGCATAAAGTTTGCTTACAAACCATCTGATTCCTCGACCCATTTACGGAGGTAGTAATCGCTTTTCATGTAGTCTAGCATTCCTCAAGTGAGTTGTCGACCATGCATGCTTCACCGAGCATCAGAGCGATGCAATTTCTCCAGCGACCACGGTCAACGATTTACGTAGAAAATTCATGACTGGGTTAACGGAAAGAGAAATTGACCGCTGTGGACCCAGGGAGCGACGCCCGGCTTCGCATGATGTTTGGACAATTCTGAGTAATGGTCAAGATTCAACTGGACGGAAAGAAGTCAAATCTTAAAAGCATGGAGTTGTAATTGTAATACAAATAGACAGAATAAAGTTAACGACCGTTCAGTTATCTTCATCGGAGTTGCCAGAGATGCAGGTTCTCCGAGGCCCTGTTTCGTTAGTGCCTTCAGGCATGCTCTCAGCCTCTTGGATTGCTTGGATGATTTCCCTGAAGCATTCGAAGAATAAACTGAGATGTGGACTTGCGTCTATCATCTCATTGAACAGTAGCATAACCTACTTCAAACGCCATTCAAGTGCCAACAGTAAAGCCCATAAAATCACTGTCAATACCCACCCCCCTTAACAATGTGCAGAAAAGTAGAACGCGGTAATTTCGATCCTCAACCATAAATCCTGCGGCTGTTGATGCTTGAGCCCATATCAAGCAAACGACTGCAAGACCAATCACAGACATCTCCCGAATGGGACCCACTTAATATTTTGCAGAGTTGCATTCTACAGAGGCCGTACAGCGACAGCTATCTTTTGTGTTGTTCCAACAATTGATCAAAAGTCGAGATAATTTAATATTTATCTAATTTGTAATATAACCTTAAAACGAAAATGGGATAAAACTGCCTGCGTCAACCGTAGCTTCGTTTTTTTTACGGCTTTTACAGGATTTTCTAGGATTATATTGTGCTAAGATGTGGAGCTATCGACAGAAAGATACTAAGGAGTTACTTAAAACATCCTATTCTGGTCAATAATTAGAATTTAAATAAATCATACCATAAAAGTGACATGTAAGGTTGATTCAGTACTACTATATAACAAATGCTCCAACGGTGGCCTTTTCATGGTTTCAACAATGGGGTGCGCCTAAAAATGGGTTCATTCTTAACTTCGGCTTCAACTTCTAAGGGCAACATGCTTCAGACGCCCAAGCAGCCATTCGGTGAATGCTTGAAGTAACACTGATACCTACCTGTCGAGTAGGTTCTCGTTAGAAAAATCATCAAAATCGCCTTCACCGTATTCCAAAGCGACCCTTCGACGCTTCTCACAATTTACAGTTTGGTGATCTTCATTCGCCGTGGGATGTGGTGATGACACTGAGGTCTTAGGTATGAACATGCCTGAATCCTGAAAAAAAAGTGTACTGACAGACTGGGGAACGGGAAAATGAAGTGAAAAATTAATACCCACCAGAAAGAAATTACAATCAAATCCAAAAACACACATTCTTACCTCTTCTGAACTGTCTTCCGGGTCCAGGTGTATCGAACGCCCTGGCCTTTTACTGTTGGGGGGTTCCTATTAAAAGTAACGCGAATTCCTCACCGATTTCACACTACATAACATACCTCCTCATTGGCACCATGGATACCTTTAGGGTTTGCTGGTTTCTATAAAATGGAAAAACACATTTGTTTATTGTTTCAATAAAACACCATTCATCTATCCCTGGATCTACTTGATAAACTTCGTCACTGAAATGTTCATTGGCGTCGTAAAGCAATTCTGGTGAAGAGTCGTGTCGTCTAATCCGTCTTCGTCTTCCACGCAACGATCTGTCCACTCTTTTCATCCTTGATATGCCTCCACCCAAAGTTTCTAATTGGATTTCCTCTTCAACGCGCCCTTGATGACGTGTTTGCCGTCTGTGGTGACCGAAATCATTCACGCCCCCGGCCAATCCTAGCTCACTCAACTTCTGTCCAGCTTCCTGACGGCTTCGCCAAATTACTGCTGCAGGCATTTCACTGCTTTCCTGTCGCATTCTCTGCCCGAAATCCGGTCTTAACTCAGCCATTACATCATCCAGTCGATCTATTGGGCAATTTGATGTCTAATCGTGTGAGAAAGCACTTACAAGAACTGTCACGTTTAAAAAATAACGAGTTGAGCAAGTTGGCCTCTTCTTCGCTCCGAGGTGGTCGTCGTTTTCGACTTCGCCCGACAACTCTTTCATCATCTAAGTGGATACTTTGCAACCAAAAGGTGATAGTAAAGAAAAAGGAGGATTTACGTCATCATTTTGAGATTTTTCGCAGAGTCCACTTTACCTAGGTGTATCAGGCGCATAATGATTTGACGTCGGGTCTTTCCAGGATCCGAGAGATTGCGTTTCAATACATCCACCAAATCTTCACCTGTTGGCGAAGAAGAAATAACAACCCCCAATTGTTTGCAAGGTTTTAATGAAAAAACAACCTCAAAATCGTTTGATAACTAGACAATTTTTCAAGCAAAGTTCTAGAAGCCATTGTTTGAAAAAACTACAAATTGGTATTCTGTTAGAAAATGGTATAAAAATAGTTACAATCAACCGTAAATTCTAAATACCCTTTGGCACGGGATCATATCTGCACGCCTCAAAAAGCTGGTCCAGCTCCTTGTCCAGCTCAGCAGTCCAGTGCGACTTCTTATGCCTGGAAGTGGACGAATACTTTGTCCCATAAAATAATCATTGCTCAACTTCAAAATTATGCTGACAAAAATGAAAAACTTTTCCCTGGTATTTTTCATTACTATAAATAATCAAACGGTCAAAGAAATGTTACCTAGCATAAGAGAGACGAGAGCTTTTTAAGTAAATCTACAAGCAGGATATACAAAGCGGAATGCCTGAATACAGTAGAGGACTTAAAAAGCACATTAATAAAGTTCAAACAATTATTCATGAAAACTCATCATCTATAGGAATATTTGCAAATAATTTGTTTCACTATCCATTAAGCAAACATCTAATATATCAACTTCAATAAGCTCAAAACAAGCATGACCGATTCAAATAGTATCCTCAAATATTAATCATCTAAAAATTTTTCTCTTCCGATAAAAAATAACCACAAAGCCGTCCACAGACTAATTATTCTAGATCCTTTTTGATCAAATGATGACAGCAAAAACGGACGGGAGGAAAGACGCACTAGGAAGGGAAACCTACCCACTTTCGTAAGTGCCGTAGCCGCTGTACGCTTCGGCGGCTTCTCTGGTGGACTTTAGGAAGAGTGCCTCCACACCAACTAGGTGGGAACGTTTAAAGGTCGCGAAAAATTTGCGAAGAATGTACTTGATGAAGCACAACATCTCCTAAACAATTAAAATGAATCAAAACCCACTTTCGCTTCAAAATGAAAGTACAATTGGAAATGTTAATAACCTTATGATGGGTGGAAAAATTGTTTCGCGACCGATTAATTCAACGCTTTGAATGAATACAAATCGTCTTTGACTGTGCAACTCCAGAGGGACTTCAACCGCTTCATCCTTTTAAAGCGTCAGAATTTTAATAATTCTGGTTACAAATTCAATGTGTATGTAACATCTTGGAGCCTTTTCTGACGTTACGCAAAAATGGAAATAAAATCTAAATTAGCATCTTCAAGAGAATGATTTATGCCCTTCAAAAAAGGGACATTGCAGCAGAAGCTCCAAGTCATAAACACGGAGTAATACTTTCGCTTTATTTTCTAGCCAAATTGTACTAGGTAGATGGCATGAATTTCTGGTGCTTTCGAACAAATCTGAGCAAGAGGAAAGACAGTTTTCAACTACAAATGAACTCATTGGGCAATCAGTCCTTTTTTTAAAAAAGCCCACCTTAAATTCTTCTAGCTTCTCGACAACAGGGTCTTTGATAATGGTCTGAAAAATGTAAAAAAGCCGCAGTTGGAAGAGAATTCCTGGAAGGTGCTGCTTCACCGCGATCTTGTGGAGCAGATACACAAGATGTGTATTTGTCAAAGGCGGATTTAGCGCATAGTTTGCCAGCAGACATCTGAATAATACGGGAGCATCTTTTAAAAATATACAGAAACATAAACACCACGATATCAACAGTTTGTAACTGGATAGTTTAGGATTCACCAATGGCATTAAGTAAATAATAATGCGGAGTTATAATCATAGCTAGACAGACGTCGGCTATGAGAAATAATTAATAACAACCGAAAAAAAAACAATACGAAAATTAACACTTTAAACCTAAGCCTTTTTTCCAAAATAAGGGCCAGGTAACTAAATTGATGGTAATTGATGAGGTAGTTGGTAATCGTTTACACCTCAAATTTGAACAAGTTGGGTTTTAAACGCTGAATTGAACCAATTTCATGGCGATATCAAGTTGTACCTTTATAAATCGTGTCATACTGTTCACTTACAGATGCTTTTTAAGGAAAACTGCCCAAAAGACTCAATTAGGATATAAGCTTTACAAATGGCTCAGAACTTTGAAACATCAATTCTTTGTAATCAAATGTCAAAACTCGGATTAATGTGTTAGATCGAGATCTATACATTTAACCACATAAGGAGCACTTGAAAATAGGCCTGCCGTCATATAAATGAAAAAGAAACTTATTTCCCCGGACTAACATCGCTGGCAGCCATAATCTAGAAACCGAAAATGCAAAAACTACTAGCACCAATTAGCTGGACCATCACTTACGTCAGCGAACGAATAATGTGAGGGTGGGTAAAACGAAGAAGGAAGGTATGAATGTCAAAGGCGACCTCTTTATCAAGGACTTCGAAACTGTGTTCATCATCTGAATTTTCCAATTCTTGACGAAACGACTCCTCCGCGTCACCAATGTTCCACGTCTCTTCTTGAATCGCTGCTTCAGTGACAGCTAGTTCTTCGGCTTCCGATAAAATGGAAAAAGAATACTCTAGCTAGATAGAGTAAGTTGAAGTTCTTCAATAACTGAATATAATAAATTTCTATTCAATCAGTACACTCAAGTAAACTTCGTAGATAAATCCTAATAACCAAAACAATCCAGAGGCCTCAAAGAAGAGCGGCATTTTCAACACGCTTCCACTACTAATTCTTATGTGGGTTGTTTTAACAAAGTAGTGGCTTTCCTGAGTTACTGCCTCGGCACCAAAAACTATGCCAGCGCGCGTGATGCAAAAGGACGGAAATGCTAACTTCAGTTCTCATATCAGAAAAATAATTTGTTAAAACTAGACACAAGCTGCGACCACTGGTTATTGCGTCTCCATTAAAGATTTTGATAACATGCCCGTCAAGTCGAGGAGAAAGATTTTTCGTAGAGCCAAGTATTCTAAAACTTGTGGAGGTTCCAATCCAGCCTCAATGGCACGCGCTTTCTCCTTGGCCAAATCTTCCTTCGCTTCTTCATCCTCCTCCTCTGCATCGTTGCACGGTGATGCTTCCGGCCAAATATCCCACATGGACCGGGCGATGGCGAGAGAACGTGCGGCTTGATTGTCATGGAGACTAGTGTGGACCAAGCGAATGGCATTGCGCAGTTGAGCGGCCATCGATTCGCCGTCTGCAGAGACATCAGCTGGGTCAAATAACTGAGGAAGATCATCATTAGAAGACATAATTTGGGGGGTGCCACTAAGAGCAGAGATGAGATTGGAGGAGAGGGGAATCCAGATACGTGCCAAAAGAGCACTGCGCTCTTCGGGGGTTTCATTGGCGCGTTTGAGAAGCCGTTTTCGAGCTTCAACTAGCTCCTTTCGGCGCTCCCGATGAGCCGCATATTTTAGACGCCTCTTCTCGCTGCGATGACGACGCCTTTGATGACGCGATACAATGAAGGTTGCCATGGACTTTGCTTGCGCAGTTAGAAGGTTTATGAAGAGATGTGCGCCCTCAACTAGTTCAACTAAGTATTCTCTAAAAAGGCAAGTACACCTCGAATATATAAAAGCGATTTTGAAGATATTCCAAGTTCGTGACGAATAAGCAAAGCACATATTTGAGTGTACAGGAAAACAGTACATCACATTTGCTAGGTACGAAGATTTAATATAAGCCAGTTATCGAAAAGACGCTATACTTCCTGGATGGGAGATAGTACAAACAGGCTATTTTGGGACGACGTGACTCAAAATAAAGTTGCGGGTTCACCAATTACCTGGCCCCAAAACTTTGTCCCAAACATTGTGTAGAAATAACTGTATGATACGTTAACTTTAGCGTAGCATTTAAATAATTCCAGACTGGAAATGAAAAAAAGATGAATGGCCTAAATGGTTTCTTTGAAAAGTTAATAATTAGATAAACTGCTAACCAAAAAATTTATTGCAGTAGCTCAGTTGCCACTATTCGAAAAAGTAGGAAAGAGATAGCTATAGGAAGTTCGCTTACTTCGACTGAGTCGATTCATTGTACTCCTTTAATAAGGACACAAAGAGATCCTGATACTCAGCAACGTAAAAGATGTTCGCTACAAAAAGAAACCTAAGATTGTAACATGCGTGAAGGGAAGCTAGTCATACTCTCCTTCAGGTTCAAACTACCAACTTACACATCAATGACTCAGCCACCTGCTTTTGAACACGTAATTGAGGCTCTCGTGCCTCCAAAGTTTCCTGCTCCTCTTCTTCCTCGTCATCACCTCCGCAACCATTTAATCCCTTCTCCCGCACCTCCTGTTTAGAGGGCTTAAACATCTCCTTCAGACAAAGAAGGAACTGAAGATAGGCGGAAACGGCAAGTGCCAAGCGCCGGCTATACTGGAGGGCATTTTGATTTCGCGCTCCTCCGCGTCTGTCGGTGAGGAGGGCCTCACGATAGCCCATGGAGAGAGTGTAGACCCAGTTGAATACGTTTGCGTTTAGTGACTCGCTAGAGTATTAACAACCGAAACCAGTTCAATAAAACACCAATCCATACCATGCAAGTTTGCACTGTGCTCACAGATCAAGCCATCTCGCCATTGTTACGTTTTTAGAACACCCATTCCCTATTTCATTGGCGTCGAGACTGCATACAAAATTCCTATGCATAGATTATGTTTAAGACTATGGAGATCAGCATCTTAATTATCCAACGACCAAGGTAATTTCGTCGAGTAAACGATCCAGAACTGTCATCCAAAAGTGATACACAAGCAGTGTCACAAATAATAGACAAAAACCACAGCAAGAAGGGCCTAGAAATTCATCAAACCTGAGATACTGTGGGCGGAATCTGTAAAGACGGCAGAAAGCCATGAAGAATCGCATAGACCAAAGGTAGTAGGTCTCATCATTGGCTTGGGTACTCTGACGTAGAATAGCCCCACGTGCCGCATGCATCAAGAGGTTGTAGCAGTTGCACAGAAACTGCCAGCAAAACTTCTACAAGGCACGGTGCTGTTGCATGAGACTGAATAAGCGGAGAAGGAAACACACAGAAGCAAGTGAGACCTGAAGAAAGAGCTGGACACTGAGGGCTGACCGTCGACGAAATTCGCGTTCAATCAAAGGCTTCCGACTGCACGGCTTGCAACGTATTCGCTTTCCAAGGTCCAGATCGACCTGGTCAATCGCGACAAAGTCCGTGCATTTCGTACTAGTCCCCGCACAAATCAGACGACTTCGACGCAGCGGAACGGTCACATCGTGATGGTAGATGAGAGGGCGACACGAGATCGACTGTGTATTAAGCAGTTCAAATGTACCGCCAAATCGATTATGACTACGGAATGAATAGTGGCAAGGAGTATGCATTTCCCTTCAGTAAACTCGGACAGATAATGTTAAATGATGCATTCCTGTTCTACGCTGCAGTGGAAAACAGCAACCCTCATCTGATTTATGTTCGAGAAACAACCTATAGTTTACTTTGGGAGTGATGATAAGAGTTTCTTAAGTATGTGAACTTGATCCACAGTCTCTACGAAGGTTTCACATGGCATCCTGTAAATGTATTTGTGCATTAATAAATTCGAAGTGGATATTCGGTGGCATAGGAAGAAATACCTACAAATCACAACTACTTATTTTAAATACGGAAATCTATCCCAATTTTCATTGGTTAATCATACATTTAATGTTAACAAACGTTAAATGACCAGAAGTTGGGAGTAAAGGTACACAAGGGCTATAATTGGGAGACAATCTGCCATGAATACGCAGGGACTGGGGCCAATACATATTTGTCAAGGTTTAAAATTATGGTAGTGAAGTTTCCCATATAATCGTGCGTTGCACAACTCCTCCAGATGCCCTACTATGGACTTTTAAATGCCTGTGAAAATACAATCATTCAGAAAGAAGTAAAAAACAGAATTTACCGCATATTTAAACGCACTAGTGCTGCACGTTTTTCCTCTTGCTCCCTCAAACGACACCTTTCAAGAACCCTGTAAGTAATAGAAGTCACATTGAAGATAGACCCTAGCACATGATTCGCAGAGGGTACAATATTACCGTATGCTGGGGTCGATATCAGTCAAGGGAGAGCCAGCACTTGCAAGCTGTTCAGGAGTCTGTAGGAGAAGTAATGTTTAGGGGAGGATTGAAAAATATGAAAACATGAGTCAAATAACCTTTTCGCGAAGCATGAGAGAAGTGATTTCGAGAATGTGAAATGCGAACACGTTGAGCTCATCCTTAGCGTTGGCAAGGAAGAGAAGCAGATCATCCCATCCAGAGAGATGAATGGTCCATAACAGTTGATCGTGAACCGACACATCATCATCAGTTCGCTTTATTGAGAAGTGTTTATACAAAACAGGTATCTACGTGTTCCGTAGTAGCATCGGGCGAGATGTGAAGAACATTACGAATCAAAATAAGAATGCGCTCAATCAACAATCTGTCGTCATTACTTCGATCTTCCCAGGGCTTAAAAAAAGCTGAAAAATCTCGAGGATGAATACCTTGTTAAATAAATCCTCCACGCATTCAGCGAGAACCCGGAAGAGTTGCTCGTCAGCGAAGGCCTTAAAAGCTAAGTGGAATTATTACAACTAGAATTACGTGTTTATACTCCTTGAGAATAGCGTCTACTTTAAGGAAAGCCGCATAGAGGTCGCGATCATTGGGAATTTCGTTGTGGAAACAGACAACAGCGGGTTGAGTAAGACTCACCATTAGTCGAACCACAAGATCAAAAAGAATGGGGTCAGCTCTACTGACCTTAAGCAAAGGAATCAGATCACTGGTTAGGATCTTCAGATTGCCAAGTTCCCTTCGTATATCGCAGCTAGCGCTTTCATTGCGAAGATAACGCAAAATAGAACGAATTGACGCAGCTGCGTCAACGTCAACCTTATACTCCTTTTCGTCCAGAAAACCCAAACAGACACAACAAGCCTGCAAATCGGCGTACTTCAAATCTGATTTCAATGCCATGTCAACTAAAGTTATAAAGGAGATTAAAGCAGGATTTGAGGGACCCAAGGTAGGAAAAGTTATTCATGACAGAATACTCGGGACAAATACCAAACAAGAGGAAAATGGACATCAGAGCAAGGAAACTAGTCGAAAATATAAACCATTTCCCACTACCAAGATGTGCTAATACGCGACTACTTCCCACCACCTGGCCATCAAGCACAATAGAACCGCCGTAATACATTGTAAGATTAGGAGGGAAAAGGTGTAGACTTTGCCTACGGAGTAGGCATCACAGAAACGAAACAACAAATCCATATGTGCACATCAAAACAATCTTACCGTTAATCCCAATAGGTTTAAACAAAGGTCGGTTGAAATAAACAAGAGTATCAAGATAATATACAGGTTGAAAGGGAAAGCAAGAATTAAGTTGAAACACTTAAGATAGTAAACTATAGCCTGCGGTACCATCCAATGTAGTTCAACTTGTTGGATTTCATTAGCAAGAACGTAGGATTGTTGACTAAAACGCATTCGAGGACGTTCCTTTAAAAAAATGGGCTCCATGTGGTTTAATTATTGCTACTTGAAAAAATCACTTAAAATTTTCTATTAGGACGAACGACAGCATAACACTAGCACAAAAAGTGTATCTCTGACTTGCCGGAGAGGCATGTCGCACAGCAGTTGTATAGATGTGAAGCCCGAGTACCTGTCCAATTAATACACAGATTCAAGCAACTGATCTAAGCACTTCGCGATGCACTAACTTATTTTTGAAACCAGTAAGATTGCCGGTATTAATACACGCAAAACAACAACAGCACTTGCTGCTGCTTTGCAAATGCCCAGAAACAGAAACAAATTTTTTGTCTTGGGTTTTTTTTGTGTTATGGGTTGTTTAGTCGGCGGAATAGTGGGTTCATTCGCCAAAATCGTGTAACCTCCTCTTTTAATTGTTTTTTTTTGCAATATATATTTTTTCGCAACCTTTTTTGGCACAAATTTAGCTATTTTTTAAGAAGTTGATTGTTTTCTTCGATCTTTTTGCCAAAAGCATACCAATAACGACGTGTTTCCCTAATTTTTTTTCTTAAGCGGTATGCTCTCCTTTTGCAAAAAAGCTTCATCTTTTTAATATTTGAGGAGAGATGAAAACTTACAGATGATGTAGTGAACTTCTGATTAAAATTGGTTTAAAACGTGTTTGTAACCCGCTCTTATGGTGCTGCCTATATTTGATTGGCCCTGCCGTTTGGCTCTTGGGCACTGATAGTCAGTCGAGATTTTCTTAGGTCTTCTACTCTTAGAAGATTACTTTTTATTATGCAAAAGAGGGATCACAATCAAACAATACCTTTCTCGGTCCTTGTTGACACCAAAGCTCTGGAGGAGATATGTGTTTATCTGTGTAATGCTGATACTTCGAGTTCCAGTCGTTATTTTGTTGGCATAGTCGGTAGCTCCCCTCAATTCGGCAATTGGAATCCGATAGAAGGTTTGAGATGCCGTTTTGAGGCCCAAAAAGCTCCCGGGTTCGCGTACTTTAGCGTTACCATAGTTTGTCGTAGATGCGATGTTTGGACTTGCGCTGTTCCAAAGTCAAAGCTGTTGCTGAATCTGCAGTACAGATTTTATGTAGCTGAATGGCGTATCGATATTGAGAGCGATCCTGTTGAAAAGAAGTTAGTTGTTCTTGCTTGGGAGTCACGACTGAAACCTCGTGTCTTTGATCTTGCTGGTAGTGTGGTTATTAATCTTATCGTGACTTTGTAGCATTTAATAGGGGCCAGATTACCATTGACACTGTTAGATTTGGAAAATTTGGTAAGCGTTTCTTTCATATATTTTACTACGCAGATAATGGAACATATATCCAACGTGGGTATCTTATGTCGCATTCTGAGCTACGAATTCGTCTGTCGGGTTTGGCGTTGAAACTTTCAAAAAATGCCATTCCCGGCCTGTCGTCATCAACACGAGATCTTACTAAATTGGCTGGTCGTCGGGTTTACGTGACTTGTCGGCAGTCTATCGTTGAAGAAAATGGTCTAATAACGGCATTAGAAGGTGGTAAGCGTGGCTCTATCAAATTTCCCTCTTTGTTTCTTGGGTGGGATTCTGTGATTTTTGACACATATTTAGAGACTCCAATATACCCTAACAAGAACATCAGCACGCAACCAATCGCCAAGAATTCGAGCCATATGGTCTATTCTCTGGAGCAAAGCCTTGCCACAGAGATTCGATCACAGCTAATTGAAAGTTCTAGCAGCGTCCCCGCCGAGCATACCCCTTATACCGTCTCCCAATCATTATATATTCGCGGCACTCCGAACAGCGCCTTCTCCATTCCACCGTCTAGACGGCCTGAATTCTCTGTATCTCCGTTGTCCAGCCGCTCCTCAACTTGTCCATCAACACCAAGGTCCGTATCCCCTGCTCTCAGTCAGGCAGGCGAGCCACCCGTCTTTCTTTCTGTTCTTTCCAAAGAGCGTTGTACTCGTCGCCTTGGGGAGCACACTGGCTGTTGGGGTACCCTTTATTCCAGCGGTGACGACGTCACTTTCTATATTGAAACCGACAACGCGGAAGATGTTGCCGTTGAGTTGGAGTTTTACGTAGAGGTCCCACGGGAATGCGAAAATGGTAACAGGCTTCTCTTATCCTCATTTGCCACGAGTGTTATATCTTCATAGCTTCGTGTTTAATTGCATGAAGTTGAAGAAAAAAAACTACCACCTGTCAAATTCTTGGGATCTGCATTTTTTGGACCGTTCTCTGGCTACTGGGGCCAAAAGCGATCGCAACTTCTCAGCCGAAGACGAACCCCAATGGGTGATGTTCGCAGTAGGTTATTAGTAATGAGTTTATTGAGGTGCTGCTTATTATTATTGTGAATCATGCGCTTCACTTGGGTGCAGTCTCCTTCATTGTCATTAATCCAATCCTCGATGGACCTTCACCGACGTTGGATGTGAGCTACAAGCACTACTGGAAGAACCGAGGTACCCTGGAAATCGGTCATCGTGGAATGGGAACCTATTATTTAACAAAAAAGGAGAAGGACGTTGAATTGTAAGTTTTATTAGCTTTCGTGCGGGAGATTTGCAAATGCATCGCTTTATGTTTGTCAGTCTAAGGTGCCAGTCTTTTCGATGAACCTTCATCTGGAATATAGGCGAAACAAAGTTCCGGAGTAGTTTTGGGTTTACTTTAAGAATGTGTATATCATCTCGGGACGCTTTCAGCGTTCAGCGCACCTCCCTTCAGTACTCTATGCTCGCGACCAATGGGAGGACGCAATAGCTTCGTTTCTATACCGCCCTGGGGACCGCAGCCTTCACTCTTTTTGCCCCTTTCAGACCGGCGCCGGTTAAGGAAAATACGCTCCGGTCCTTCCAGGCCGCGGTTGATCATGTAATTGCATTTGTCTGTCGCTTTCCTTAGCCCCTCCCCCCTTATTGTCGCTTTAGGCATCCTATCACCTCCATTTTCTTTTTTAGCTCATTCTCTACTTTACATTTCTGTAAGCACATTTCTTGTGAATCCCCATTTAAGTTTCACTTCCAAAGCCGGAAAAAATTGAGCCCTTTCTGGAAAAGAACAGTCTTATGTGATAAGATGGGCTCTTCTCGGTGGTCACTGAAGCATTGGACAACGTTTTCGTCTACTATTTTTTTATAACATTTCTTTAGACCATTTACATTCTTCACTTTTGCGTGTAGCTATTTATTTATCGAATGCAGTCCTCCTGAAGTACTTTGTTGGACCAAATGTATTAATTAAGTCAACTAACTCGATTTCAATGCTTACCTTTTTTACACTTTCTTACTATTGATGTCCTTGTCGCTCTCTCCTCTCCCGCTTTTACCTTTTGTTTCAATAAGTCTACTATCAACTTTGCCTTATTTCCAATTTTCGGCCCTAGAGTAACGAATTGAATCCTATTTTAGATTATCTTAAGCACTTAATTCTCATTAGCTCAAACTTTTTTTCAGTCTGCAAATTTCATATTTCTTTTACAATTTACGGCTGACAATCAGCATTGGCTTATTCCTTCTCATTCAAATTACTACCAGGCTGCTGCTCTTCGTCAACTGACCTGCCATGGGTGGGTGTTCAGAAAATTTGCCTGGTTTCCGATGGTTAATTGGACCTCACTGATACGTTAAAAAATGGTATTAAACACCACTGAACGAATTCGTTGCAACACACTTGTAGATGACCACCTCTTCACGCTTATATCGTATTGACTAGGCAGAGCTTCATTACTTCAGTCAAAAGTTTTGGTTTTTTTTAAACTCCCACATCGGCTTGGGAACATAACTGGGCGTCTACTTTTTGTTTGCATGTTACTTGCTAGCGCTCTTTCTCGTGGCCTTGATTTAGGGGGCGGATTTTGTGGAGATGGATGTCCAACTTACCAAGGACCACCAAGTTGTTGTCTATCACGACTTTGAAACCGTTATTACACCACGCAAGGTAGACTATTTGATGTCTTATATTTTTCATGAAGGTGTTTTAGTTGTCAGGCAGCTGTTCTCGTCTTCTAGAAGCGGCGTGGTGAGTTGCAGAACCTATCGGTAGCCGTGAAGGATCTGCCTTATGCTGCGCTTCGTGAACTTCGACTTCAGCACGCGAGTGTACTCTCAGAACCACAGTCCAAAGAGGGTATTTTTGGGGCTCTATCTTTTTCTTTAATCAATATCTAATTCCGATTCATTTTCACAAAACTTATTTTCTGCCTTGTGCTACAAATCCTCTCAGAGGTTTATCAGAAAGCCAATTTCAATTCCTCTTTAACAACTATCGTACTAAATAATTTTCAACTCCAAAATGGTCTCTCTCGTCATGTTTTATGTTTTGAATTCTTTACTAATTATATTCTTCAAAAATGATCTCTATTAAGCCACGAGTCAATACTAAAGCCTTTATAACGCCCATTCCTAATTTTTTCTGAACTCGCTTTTACGTTGTGTGTACAGTTTAATCACTTCACGCGCTCGAACTAATTAAACCCTAATGCTACGTTTACTTACTGTAAATTGGTTTCCGTGATGATCTTTTGGACTCATTCTCTTGTGTCAACTGACTTCTGTAATTTTTAAAGTTTCGCGCGGTATCTTTCATAACTGGGGTACTTCTTAAGCCTACTTTAAAAACTGTCAATTCCTGATAAATTAGCTCTAAGTCACGAAGAGACTTAACTGCTATTTTTACGAATTCCTCTCTTGAAGGAACAGTTCTGCGTAGATCCTATTGCTTAGAACGTACCGCATTCATAGCCCAAACGACTACGCTGTTTTGTCAGAGCCTTGATTTTTTTTCATTATCGTTAACACAGATCTGGATGGCGAAGATCTTGATCCTGTAGAATTGCAAGATTTCCCTCTTCTGCGGGATTGCCTCCAGCATATAGATCCAGACGTTGGATTTGATATCGAAATTAAGTATCCTATGGATTTAAAGGTGAGTCTACCTATCATTTTTAACGTCCATCAATACAATGTGTTCCCCGCCTATATAGGCTTCTAATGACGCTATCAAATGTTCGATATTTAATAAATACCCGAGTAGCAATCGACACATATTTATAGTTTTTGGTTTTTTGTTACTTTTAATCATTTAACGTTTCCATATTTTGTTCGCGGTGATTGTTTTGTTAACTTATTGAATATTGATTTCCCATTTCATTTTAATTGCCTACTCGAGCTTGGTGTGTATGTTAACAGGTGGGTGGAAGCGAAATGGACAATTTTTTTGAACGTAACCTCTACGTGGACACCATTCTTCGTGAAATCTTCAAGTACGCTGGAAATCGACGCATTCTCCTTTCCTGCTTCGACCCGGATACTTGTGCCATGTGCGTTGTGACATTTTTCGTTTCGCCTTACACTTTCAAATCAAGTAGACTCAGTAAATTATTGGCAAAATGTATTTACTTGGAATATGCCTTCGATAGCTTCTCTGTCGGTCGCTTTTTCTAATTTACAGCAATTTTACAGGCTAGGGTTTTGGCTTCAATTCCACGCTTTTGTTCCCTTGATCGGAGTTATTGGTTGTCTGTTTTGTTATGTTACGGGAAAGTGTTTGATCGAAATACAGTTTTTACTAGGCTCTACGCAATCGATGTTTCGTTCCAGAATTTTTTGGCGAGAATGACCGTGCGAAAGCACTCGAAGGTTTCACACAACTGCCCATTGGATGGGCACTTGATATCTGGTTTTAGGCTTCAAGTGAAGCAAATTCGCTTTCCTGTTTTCCAACTCGGCTTCTGGCCCGATTATTCGGACATACGGCAGCAGAGTTTTGAAATACTCTGCTATTCAGCCAAGGCGAATGAACTTTTGGTATGTTTACCCTTTATGAGCTATTCAATCAAGCGGAAAACCCCACCATTTACACCACATTCATATTCAATTGCGTCGACTTTATGAACTGTTTTGCCTTTTTATACTCTGCAAAGCACAAAACAACCTTCCCAAAGCTGGCAAATTAGTTTGTTAACCGTTTAGTTTAGTGATCACGCTCATTTTGTATAATCCTTTGTAGTATATGCAGATCCTACTATTTTCATATTTTTATGTACCATTTTCAACGTGGTCAAATGTTTTTGCTAGGGTGTCGCGGTCAATAGCGATGAGCTGCTCCGAAATCCCGACATGGCTGAGTTCGCCAGGGACCTCGGCCTCATTGTCCTCGTATGGGGCTCGGCTGCCAATGATTCTCGTAATATGAAACGTCTGAAGGAGCTCGGTGTTCGTGGGCTAATTTATGATAGGTTTGCATTGGCTACTCTTAACAGTGATATTTTTCATCGAGAAACTTATATTTTTCTTTGAACAATTTCGGCTATTTATTTGCATACTAATCGGTCATCTAACCCAACGATGTCTACCACAAAATCATGCATTTGTGTGGCTTCATCCATTAACTCATAATCAAAGGACATAGTTACTTCCTTAAGAAAATCCACTATCAATGACCGTCAAAACAATGTTTTTGCCACCTAGCTCTGCTATCACTATTACTACGGCCCCTATCTTCAGGTGGTCTCTCGATAAAATGCCCAATTGCTTTTAGTTACGGCATGATGGATTGACTTTTTGCTACCCTGCAGGATACAGGAGCACAGGCAAATTGGAAGCATAAGTCTTCTAAAATCGGGCAAAACGTCATCCAACTCTTTGTCAGATAGCCAGCAGCAACAGGATTTGACGCCACCGCCGCTAGAAAAATGTGCACCAGCCGATTCTACCGGTCACTCCACACCCTCACCACCGCCCCTCGAAAGTCTTAATGACAGCCACGAGTCTGGTACCTCCACACCCTCCCACCAGAACCACAGTCACCAAAATCAAGCAATCTCCGCAAATTCGGCTTCTGTTGATGCTCAAGATCTGGTTGATGCTCTCAATAAACAGCTTCGCTTGAATCCTACCTCAATTGAGAAGAACAAGTGCAAGATGCCTCTCACTCTAAATAATTAGGTCCATTGTTACTTAGATCTTTTCTGGCGTGTATATGCAGCTCGGTTAAGTCAGGCGGAAGATGAGGGCAAGTGATTTGTGCTTGTTTGACCTCCTTCCTATCTTTCTCTCGCAATACACCACTTTCCACCTCGCAGTTACCGTCTGGTAGTCAGATTTCCCCTGAGGGCTTTTGTGCTTCATGTAGGCCGCTTTCTTCTCACCCTTGTCTAAAACATTTCATTTTACCTGGAAGAAAATCATTTCATATTCTTTCCCAGTTACCTTTGATAAATTGGAGCTCATAGATAAAAAAATGTAGTGCATGGCATTTCTAGAATAATCGCCTTCTTCCTTCCGTACTCATGGTTTTTGTTGAGGATTCGATTGAAATGGAATGGCAAAATCGATGTAGTGCATGATACTTCGCTGTTTCGCCATTTTCAAATTGTTTGAAACACTATTTGAGTCTATTTTCAGTAAGATAGGACATGTTGGTCCCTCTAAAGCCACAGAATCGCTTGATTGGTTGTGATTGATTAGTTGCATCACAAATCCCTAATGACTTTGGTAGTTGAACCGGCTGACCGCTTCAGCACAAAGGGATCTGCATATCTGCTTTTAATTAGTCATTCTAAGGGCACTAGCTTATATTTACGGTACCCTGAAGAGTTGGTGGAATATATTGTCAATTTAATTATCATCTTATTTTTCAACGCTTTTAAGTCATTTTGCCGAAATTGTGTGATGTTGGTAATCAATCTAACCGAGGCGTATACGTAGCAAATGCTAGGCGATAATGCGAGATGGTCATGTTTTTTGATTTCGTTAAAATGGTTCCGTAGAGTTCTACAATTTTTTACAGTAGGTGAGCGTAAACGTTGCTGTTAAGAGTATGGTCACCGGTGTTAATCACGTGTTAGCAAAATCAGGTCTAATTTTCGGTTCACTTATCATAATTGTCAATGAGAAAGCGGTCTGGGCTATGGCGTCGGTGTCGGATCGTAGTATTTTTTTCAAGGTAGATTTCGAATTCGCAACGTTTATTCAAGCGGAGATTTAGTCAGCTGTTTTTAACAAAAATTCGAAAATTGTGTAAATCAATTTTCAGGTGTCCATAGTGTAAGAGTATGTTTTTCGTAGATTCTCCGAACAGTGCCCGTTGGGGAGCTTGTGGTGATGATAATTTGTATGTCAATTTTGTGGTTCAGTGGACTCAAGGCCAGCTGCTGCATACCTAATAATCGGAATCTGTTTTTTTTGAACTAGTAAGGGGAGTTTTGAGCTATCTACGACTTGACGATATTTTCCAATGTCGGAACTTTTGAAGTTACTAGGGGACTGACAATCTAATGTTAAGTCCATTCCACACTCGTTTTCGCTTGGTGGTAACGGAAAACTGATTTCGAAGTGTCACTTCTTTCTGTTTTTTTCCGAACCGTTTTCGTGTACTGCAGGCACCAATATTATATTCTTACATTATTTGCCAATGAAGTCAATTAATCTCAGTTGTTACTGGACACGGTTCCCTTTTATAATGGAAAATTTCAATCAGCAGTAGAGAAACTGGGCCCTTAATTCACCCTCGTCCCAGTATATTGAGTTCAATTATTCCATTTAATGCTTTGTCTTAAACCATAGGCTCTCTAGCGTATTTAATAGCATTTGTTTCATCTTTTATGGCGGAATGGGTTGTTTTCGGTTCTACAAAGTACATTAACGAATGGCGTCAAATTCAAACCGTTGCTTCTAATTTTGCAACTACAAAGGGGATCCTTCCCTACTGGTGCTATAAACAGTACCGAACAGCAAGTGCGCTTCACCACTACCAACAGACGTCGTAGATGCCGTAAGTCAGTCCAATTCTGACATCGTTCATCAATATGTAGGCAGTAATGTTAGTTTTTTGTATGCAGCTGCGTCTGGTGGGTCGTTGGGCTTCCTGTAAACGAAGGCTTAAAACTGGCAGATGGCTTTAATGACAGTACAGTGACGATGTTGAAGTTTGAAAACTCGGTAGTGAGACATTCGAACGGAGTCGCGGAAGTGCGTATTTGTCAACTGGTAGGGATGAGAGAGTTGCCAGTGTTGCGAAAACGAGTGGGCTTACAAATAATGCTGTAGTTATGCCACAACAATGTTGCTGAAGCATGCAAGCTTCGATTGGGGAACCATGTGTTGAATTTCTAAAACCCGTTCTTAAGTTTGCACTTCCAAAGTTTATTCTGACGTGTAATTTTGCACGACGGCAGAAATGTCACGTTGTTTTAAGTGTCATCATTCACCCTTCGTGTAGTGGGGTGTCCATGATGTTCTATTCCTATTTCTTCACATTTGATGGCCAACGTCTAAATACGAGACGGGATTTTAAGCTTTCTGCATGAAATGTTAGTTTCCTCCACCTTGTTAGGTCTATTATGTAGTCTTAGAAGATCTCGGGTTTGAAGATTCTGCCTGAACTTGACCTATCAACCATCTGAGCCACCTGGAGGAGCACCAGAATGTGGGTTGGATCACGTGCTCATCAAATTGAATGTGGTTGCATGTTCAGATTAATTATGGGGAAAGAAAGAGTGTTAGTTCACCGATCACTGGGGCGAGCAGAGGATTACTTACAAATATGAAGTTATTTAACTCAATGACTAGCCCTTTGGACACGTTACAACTAGCTCATTGCTTAACATTGGAGAGGACTGTGTTTGGTTCGCTTTCGTAATCAACTGACCAACGAAAATAAAGCGTACACCAGGCAGAAATTTGCCTTTTCCATTACGCGTTCATACATTGTAGTGGCGAGGAGACTGGCTAGAATGTGTCAACCCAGGAATATTGCTTTAGATTCAATCTTTTTTGCGAAACTAGAGCTTAATAGTAAGAACATTCACCTGTTTTAAATTAGTCATAATTTCCA